ATATGGTCCGGCCTACCCAAGTCCCAGCACTTACTTCGGTGTCGCTAACCGCTTCCTTGCGCAGAGTCCGATTCCGACAACGAAATTGAACATTACAGCAATCGCGGCAACAAGCTTAAGAGGCGAGCTCTATTTGCGCACCAGGGCCAGCTTGTACCTCCCTCCGGCCCCGAAGTCTACAAAGAGGCAAGTTTTTTTTTGTCACCATATGATTGATGCCGGCCAACTCTAACAACGAATAGGAGGTTGAGTACGCCGGCCAGCAGCGGTACATCATCCATCGTAATGCTCCCATTGTTGACGATGAGGGCTACGAGGTCGAGAGCGACGACGACGACGAGCGCGCCCAGGACGCTGTCGCTGCCGCCGCCGAGTTCGACCCCTACAACAACGTCCGCCTTGAACGTGCGTGCCTCTTCGTACCCGACCGAAGGAACAACACTAATTCTCTTTTGCAGAACTGCTCGCGCCCCTCACAGCTTCGACCGATCTTCCGACACATCCTACCCTCTCAAAACCCTTCGTCTCAAAAACTCTTACTGGCCTCGCGGATCAGAGCTGCGACATCATGCGGAAAGAAAACAAATCTCTGTGGCGAATCAAGCACCTCTTCACGAGGCTCGTTGGCGATCACACATGGGCGCCTTGCGAATTGATGCTCGGCTCGGACGATGTTGGTCTGTTTGCGAACGACCATTTTGCTCCCCTCCGTGGACAACAGAATCAGGAGGTAGCTGTCGCACAAAATGCCAGCGAGCCCGGAGCTTCTGTTGCCCACGACGAAACGATACTGAGCAAGACTATCGATAGCCACGAGAGGTCTGCGGTCGGCGATCAGACGGGAGACCCGACGACAGCAGGAACAGGGGAGGGCGATGTCTCGATGGTTGATCCGGATGAAACGATTACGGAGAACCCGCAAAACACCAAGGACGGTTCAGAGCCGGTGCCTCAGACGGACGACAAATCCGAGCCGGACGCCGCAGTCGCGATACCAAACGGAGACGGTGCAGTGCCGAACCGCGTAGGGGATTCGCCAGTTGTGCAAAAGCCCTCTGGCGAGAACAGCGAGCATGTCAACGGCACTGACAATAGCAATGAACCAGCACCCACCACGAATGGCCATTCAGACGCACATGCAGATGGGCCTCCCAGAACTTCGCTGCCGCATTCTGGACTCACGGTTAAAGCCATGAATGGCAGTGAAGCCATGTCTGTGGTGTCGGAACTTCTCGAGGATATCTTCATTCACCCACTCTACCAGCCACCGGTCAATGCAGAGCCGGACCGAGGTGGCCTTTCTGTGGACGAGGCCAACGACATGCGACAGCTCGTTGCACTTTATGTGCAGAAACAGGAAGAGGTCTGCCGAGGAGCGGAGAAGCTACACGAAGGTCTCCTGAAGGCTGACCGACTACGCAAAACTGTGCTTCGGTGGTCCAAAGCGGAGGCGCACTGTGGGCCAAATCGTGATATGTCTGATGGCGAGGACTGGTATGACAAGGAGGAGTGGGGATTGACGGAAGACTTGAAGAAGGGTCAGGACGAGGAAGAGGAGGAGATTGGCACGTCGACGAAGAAGACCAGAAACCGAAGGTAGCGACGGTCTCTGATGTGATATGAAGTTGGCGTCGGTTCACGGAGCGTCTTAGTCGGGCATTATTCTTATTTCTGGGAGCGAGGCGTTCAGGATCAGTGGGAAGCAGTACCTCTATGAGGCATACATACAGTCAAATCGTAACTCTCAGTTTCAACTTGAAGTCTAGGATTGGATCAGATTGGGGGGGGGGGGGGCTTTTCGAACATGTTGGCTTTCCATCTGGGTTCGTGGGCAGCACTGATAACACAGCAGCGGGAGTTGGGTGACCAGTTGGAAAACAGCTAGCTCACTTGAGCCGATTGTTGCCAGTGGCATGGATGGTGCTCAGGCCACGTGAATGTTCGCAACAGTGCAGAACAGCCAGCCAAACACCACCCTGGCCAGGCTGGAAGCGATCACACTTAAAAGTGGATAACCCTCAAGCTCCCATAACCGAAACCCTTTCCTTTCTCTCTCCCCTGCCTTCATACCATCTACACATCTTTTGCTCCTAGAAATTCGCATGAACCCCCGTTGCTCTACCACATAAATCGTCTTCGAAGATGGCACCCGTCGAGAATGTCAGCCCGGCTCTGGTCGACTTCAACCAGAAGTCCCTCTTTGGTACGTGGAGAGCCCCATGACGTACCTACGTGGTGCTCGCCCGCTGGGGAGCTTGGGCCAAAAGTCTGGGGAAGCTCTTATTGACGAGGCGTGAACAGCGTCTGCCTGTGCGATCATGTTCAACCCTCTTTTCTGGAAGTCAGTATTCAGTTTCTCTTGATCCCGCATGGACCTGGCTAACATGATTCCAGCATCGTTGCGAGACAAGGTGCGTAGGGTCGCTCGACCTCGCCAAGCAATACCACGATCCCAACCGAGAACTGACCATCCCCGCTCGGCGCTGATAGAATACAACAACAAGCTCCTGACGAAGCTCTTTGGCGGCCGCTCGCAGACGGCGTGCTACGCCCTCGCCGCAACCATCTTCCTGCTCGGCCTCTTCCGCGACGGCCTCTACGAGCGCGCGCTGCGCCACCAGCCCACGCACCCGGCTCTCGACACCGACCTCGCCAACTACGCGGGCTATGCCCTCCTCGCCGCTGGCAACGTGCTCGTAATCACGTCAACCTACCGCCTCGGCATCACGGGCACCTTCCTCGGCGATTACTTTGGCATCCTCATGGACGACATTGTCACGGGCTTTCCCTTCAGCCTCACCGACGCGCCCATGTACAACGGCTCCACCATGAGCTTCCTCGGCACGGCCCTACTGTACGGCAAGCCCGCCGGCATCCTGCTCACCCTCTGGGTCCTGACCGTCTACACCGTCGCCCTGCGCTATGAGAACCCCTTCACTGCCGGCATCTACGCCAAGCGCGACCGCGAGAGGGCCGCCGCCGGCCCTGGCAAGGAGGCCAAGAAGGTGCGGTAAATGAGGCCCGAGAGGGGGGCCAGCTTCAACAGCTATGATGGTTGCCGCGTCAGAGGGCGGGACGAAACGCCCTTTGGCGCGAGGGAGGGCTTTTCACCCCCCCGCGCGGGCGACGATCGCTCGTTCCGTGGGAGGAGATCTTCACATACAGACTCCTGGGGCGCGCCGCCCGAGACAGGTCGGTCCTGCGTCACGGGATAGAGGCTACACGCCGCTGCCGGGTTCCTTGACATGTGAACGACGGGCCGGAGACCGGGGGACAATTTAGTGTCGATTGGAGAGCGGAGGGGATGTTGACGATGATGCTGGGGCAAGGTCGGGGTCGAGGACAGCCTTCAACAAAGAGAAGTGGCTGCGGATACCCGGAGAAGCCGCGGGGGGGGGAGGCGGCTGCTTGGGTGTGCTTCGGAGCACAAGGGACAAAACGGGAAAGGGAGGCAAAGAAAGATTGCCGGATTAGATAGCTTCACTCCACAACAGTCACAGTATACTAGTCGCGACAAACTGTCGCGACCACTGTCGTCATGCTTCTTTTCCCTTCGTGGTGACACCTGAACTGCTGAGCGGTTTGAGACCAAGCGCTCTTTCACTTGCACAACGCAGTGCAAAACGGCATGGGCAGACGTGCAAGGGCACGAGGGCAGAATATATGTGACAAAAGCGCTCACAAAATAGCCTCGTCGCCAGGCTGCGATGCGTTGGCCGAAAGTGGGGGTCAGAATGGCGAGCAGACACCGAGCTGCCATGGCCCGGCTGCTAATGGCACGACGACGGACCGCCCTGGCGCCAAGCACGAGGAAAAGACGGAATCTATTCCATGCCGGCAATCATGTGTGACGTCCGAAGTTTGGGGATGGACTAGGCCTAGCTGGACGTTGGTGTCTTTGAATCACATGGGGTTTTTTTTATTTCTCTGTCTGGCTGTCGATGAATGGCAGATGCTCAAAGGACACTCGGTGTACCTACCTAAGCAGTTAGTGGATCATCATCGTGTAAGCAGGCGCAATACATCTAGTCCTTCGGATCAAAAGACTGCTCCAACCCTCATTAAAGTCTTACAAAGATGGACTCGGTGAGCGAACTAAAGCATCATGTGGCAACCTGAAGTCATGTTTCCGAGTTGAATCTGATTGACATTGTCAAACCCCTATGCTAAGGTCACCGGATCATCAACGCCTTCTACCGTCTGCTGGAGCACTTCAGAAGGAAACCAAGACTGGTCCACCTCACCATTTACCATTAAATCGCAAGGCAATCCTCATAGATCAAACTGATCGGCAGGACCGGATCGGCCACCCCATCGCGTGGGATCTCTCCAAGGATGCCAAAGGCCCACCAACCCTTCAGACCTCCACCGGCACTCACCGAGCCAGCCGAGCGGCGCCGAGCACGGCTTGAAGTGGCTAGCCAGGGACAGAGACAATAACCCCTCAATTAATCCGCCAATGGCCTTGCCGTTTCTGACATCATCCCGACCATCGGCGCCCGCCCAGACCCTGAATCGATCGAGCTCTAGGGGAGCAAAGCAACATTTTTCTTACCGAACGGGCGGAATGTCGAGGCCTTCTCAACGAGTCGCGGACCCCCACCGAGTCTATTCTCCTTGAGGGCTTTTGAGGTCAACAAGGGGCGCCACGGGACGGGAAAGCATGTTCCAGCCTTGGGGGGGGGGGGGGGGGGAGGACTGCTGTGGGGTGAGTGTCACTTGCTCGTCTCGAGTTGCGGCGATGTGGTGGGGGTAGTCGCTGCCGTGAAATGTCGTCGCCGTGACGCATTTTCCTCGACGTGCCATTCTTGTCTCTCGCTTCCCATCCTACCTCAACGTACCAGCATACCCACGATCCACTGACGATCATCACTATCCGGAACATCTTCTTCAAGGGCCAGTTTTACGGTTTCTTCATCTTATATACCAGCCAGCCAAACACGGGCTGGTCGCTTTTCCCCGGCGCAAAGGAGTTGGATCCCTGTCAGAAGAAGTTCATCATGGCGGATCGCACACATGTTAATGGTACATCCAACGGCCTCCCTAACGGCGTTCACAATGAAACTATCAATGGTGCTGCCGACGGGCTGGCCAACGGTGTAGAGGAACCCAGCAAGCGCGGTTTCATCGGCGCCATTGACCAAGGCACAACCTCTACTCGCTTCATCATCTTTGAGGTTGCCACTGGTGAGCCTGTAGCGAAACACCAGCTTGAGATCGAGAACCATCACCCGCACCCTGGGTCAGTCATCCATGGGACCACGAATCAAGACAATATGGGTGACCACCTTACTGACCCGACAATCACAGGTGGCATGAACATGATCCCAAAGAATTGCTCCACAGCGTCACGACGTGTATGGAGGCCGCGTTTGCCGACTTTGTAGAACTTGGTCACACGAAAGACGACCTGAGAGCCATAGGCATCACCAATCAACGGGAGACCACCATCGTCTGGGACGGTCGCACCGGCGAGACTCTCCACAACGCCATCGTCTGGTCAGACACGCGCACGGCGGATAAGGCGCGTCAAATCAACGAGCAGGCAACAAGCAAGACGATATCTGATCTCACTGGTCTGCCGGTCTCGACGTATCCTTCAGCCATCAAGCTATCATGGCTGCTGAATAACGTCGACGAGGTTCGTCAGGTCTGGGAGGATGGTCACCTCATGTTTGGCACCGTGGATACATGGCTTGTGTACTGCCTCAATGGCGGCTCCAAGGCCAAGGAGCCTGTCCATGTCACCGATTCGACCAACGCCTCTCGCACCATGCTTATGAACCTGAGGACCCTACACTGGGAGGATAGCATCATTCAAACCTTTGGCCTCGACAAACACCCCCTGGGGCTTCCGCGTATCGTTTCATCGTCTGATCCAAACGCCTTTGGCAGTATTTTTTCCGGTCCGCTGGAGGGTGTTCGTATCACGGGTTGTCTTGGAGACCAATCCGCGGCTTTGGTTGGACAATGTGCCTTTGCACCAGGTCAGGCCAAGAACACTTATGGCACCGGCTGCTTCCTTCTGTACAATGTCGGTAAGGAGAGGCCGGATCTTCGCGGTTCTGGTTCGGGCCTCATTAGCACCGTGGCATACGATTTTGCGACGACGGGTGAGTTTCGCCAGGCAACATATGCACTCGAAGGTAGTATCGCGACAGCGGGATCAGGTGTCAAGTTTCTGGTCAAGAATTTGGGTCTCGGCAACGATGCCCATGATATTAATGCGCTGGCGAACTCGGTGCCCAATTCGGGCGGTGTAGTTTTCGTCACTGCTTTTAGCGGCCTGCTTGCACCATACTGGATCGATGATGCTCGAGGCACGCTTTGTATGTTACCCAAGGCCCCGTTGTGCCAAGTTTTCGAATGCTAATGTGTCATCAGTCGGTCTCACTCAGTTTACGCAAAAGGGACACATCGCACGAGCAACTCTCGATGCCACATGTTATCAGGCAAAGGCCATCCTTGACGCCATGGCCAAGCAATCTGCAAGTCATCTCGACTCTCTCGCCGTCGATGGCGGTCTGTCCAACTCAGACCTGTGCATGCAGTCCCAGGCTGACATCAGTGGCATTCCCATTGATCGTCCGGCCATGCACGAGATTACGGCTCTCGGCGCCGCCTACGCCGCCGGCCTCGGCATCGGTGCTTGGACGATGGACGAGCTGATTGCTATGAACGCACGCAAGCAGGGTACTCGGAGGTTCGAGCCCAACGCGGAGAAGAAGGCTGAATGCGAAAGGATGTACCGCAAGTGGGGCCAGGCCGTACAGATGAGCCGCGGATGGGCTACGGATGAGGATGCGACGGCTAAAGATGAACAGTCGGCCTCCTCCAGCGATGAGGATGCTCCGTTCGACTTGGAGCACATGAACTAGGAAGCAAATCATGTGCAGGACGGAGATGCAGACATGCTGGACCCCGAAGCGGAGCTAGGGTGCCTAAAGCAGTGGTGGGCCAAGGGCAAGTTTCGGCGCGTCGTGCCAGAAGACGAGCCGTCCTTGAAGAACGGGGCGCCATGGCCCGACTACGGGCTGTACCTAACCGCCGTGGAAGAGCAGTGGTCAGCGGTCCGAAAGCGGTACCTAGATGCCGCGGCTGAAGAGCGTGCGCGCAAGAAGGCGCGAATCGAAGCGGAGGACCGTAACAGGGCGGATGTCGCCATGGCGGCGTAGACCCTGTGGGCGGAGACCTTGTCGGCGGAGGCGTTGGGATCGATGTGATTGGGTGTTTGGCTTGGTGTTTTGGCGCAGCTGGCTCGAGGCCAGCATGGAAGGATTGGTATGGCTGGGCAGGAGCTGATCGAAAGGCAGAGCAATTAGCCAAGTTAGACGTCGGAGCATGACAAGCGTAGCGAGTTCTCTCAAGTTCTCCCGTTGCTGCGGAATAGTAACCTCGTTTGACCCCTTTTGTTTTATTTCCTTTTCATTCATCATGCCGGGTATCTGTGGTCTGTTTGCCTGTCACATCTAACTGTGTCTGCAGATAGTAGGTGGTACAAGAACACCAGGGAAAGTTTGGACCCTCGAGAAAGTGGTCGCATGAACCCTCATTTCCAGACCGCACTGCGAGGCAGTTGTAGTGAAGTGACAGAGGCCATTCAGACAGATGAACCTCCCTTCTCCCCTGAGGCTCAGACAACAAGAATTTTGGAAGCAAACCCACGCTGGTGGGTATCACACTTTTTTGCGGTTTGTCGCTCCTCCTCTACCCCGTGTGTTGTCTTTCGTGCCAGTTCCCCCACCCCCCCTTTTTTTCCGTTCCGAGGGAAAAAAAAACACGCTTCCAAGAAAGGTCCAAACAAGTGCGAGTGCCTGCTATACATACAAGTCCATGCAATCCAGACAAGATGACAGGAAATCAAAGCATGAACCGGAAAGGGCGTCGAGAAAATGGACCAAAAGTGCCATCTGTGCCTCAGGCCCGCCGTTTTCTTCTTCCCCCTCGACGCGCTGAGTGCTAGAGCAGCACGAGTGGTCGTCGCCATGGATCACGTCTCCTCGATATTTTTGGATTATGGTTTCTTCGTCTGCTCTCGAGAGTGGAGTTGTGTTCTGAATGATTAAGAGTGATGATTTGCAAGAGTGTGGTGAGAAGAGAAGCTGGAGAAGTACGAGCAGGGCAAGTCTGCCACATCCTCGCCGTTGGTTCGTTTTCGGTGCCGGTGCCAGCAACACATGGAACAGTTACATGATGATGGCAGGCACATCAACGTTGGCCTTGATGCTCTTGTGGGGAAGAACGCTGCCGCCGTTGACGTAAATCTCATCAGCAATGGTGACATCGTCTCCCAGCACCGTGACGTTCTCGAGACGAGCCCACTTGCCGACAGTGCTGTTCCAGCCGACAATGGTGCTCTTGACCCAGGCGTGGTCCTTGACCTTGGAACCGGATAGCAGAACGCAACGTTGGAGACGGACACCGTCGCCGATGACGACGCCAGGGCCGATGGTGACATTGGGGCCAATACGGCAGTGCTTGCCGATTTTGGCGGAGGGGTCGATCAGGACGTTGCCGCCGTGGACGTAAGACTCGGAAGCAGGGGCCAGCTCCTTGCAGCCCTTCTTGGTGAGTGACGACAGGTACAGACAGGTACCGGTGAGGAAATCCTTGGGCTGACCAACATCCATCCAGAAGCCCTCAAGGTCGAAGCTGTGGAGCTGGCCGTCGCGGACAATGGCAGGGAAGGTCTCTTGCTCGATGGAGGTAGGGCGCAGTTCGATGCGCTTGAGCACGGAGGTGTTGAGAATGTACATGCCGGCGTTGATGCGGTTACCGACGAACTCGACAGGCTTCTCAACGAAGCGATCGATACGCGTGGGGTGGTTAGGCTTGTGGACAATGACACCATATTTGGAAGGCTCCTCAACCTTGGTGACGACAATGGTGCCCTCCTCTCCGTGGTTCTTGTGAAACTGGGCAAGCTGCTCAAAGGGGTAGTCGCAGATGACGTCCGAGTTGAGCACGAAGAAGGGAGCATCGTCCTTGGCGAGGACGTCTTCCGCGAGCTTCAGGGGGCCAGCGGTACCGAGAGGCTCGGTCTCGATCGAAAAGGTAATCTTGATGCCGAATCGCTCCTCGTACTGTGAACAACAGCGACATGTCAGTTTTTGACCCAGCTGGGAAGAGAGAGCTATTTGCGCGTGCAACAAGAAGCCGGCGGTATAGATGACGTACCTCAGCAAGATGCTTCTCCATGATCTCGGGACGGTAGTTCACGGCAAGAACCACATCGGTGACGCCTGCAGCGGCCAGAGCCTCGATCTGGTGTAGAATCATGGGCTTGTTGGCAAACTCGACAAGGGGCTTGGGGAGAGTGAGGGTCTATCGGTCGGAGGTATTAGCATCGCGTTGATCGAAAACGGCCGTGTCTCAGCACGGTCTGCGATGGTCGAAAGGAAGGCATACAAGGGGGCGGAGACGGGTGCCGAAGCCGCCGACGAGGATGATGGCTGAGAGGTGTGAGCAAGGTATGGTCATGAATGCGCTGGCCCTAGCAAGCTTCCTGCCGTATTTTGGGGAAAGGTAGGAAGCACTCACCCTTCATGGTTGAGGAGTTGATGCTCAGGGGGTTCTGCGCGCGGGCACGAAAAGGGAGCTGTTCGGATCTCGGCGGTGCAGTCGCGAAAACCGAGAGGGGAGGAAGGAGGGTATCACGACAAAGATGGAATGCCGAGAAGAAGAAACGAAAGGGGTATCGCACGGAACGAAGGAAAGCTTGGAGAAGAAGTGTGCTGGAAGTTGAGAGCTCAGGTGAGGCTCGTCGTGGGAATCGTGAAAGATGGTGGAGGTAGGAGTGTCCGAGATGACACGACAGCTCTTGCGGTTCACTTCAACTCTGGCAGCGACGACAGGAGACACGGGACCCCACAATATCGAGGGTCCACCTGCCTTAGGGGGAGCAACAGGGGGGGCCGCTTCCAACCTCAGATGGAAGCTCCAGGTGAGGTGAGGTAGGGCTCCATTGAGCCAATTGCGGTGCAGCCTCCAATGGGATTCAGGGGCACACCTCGTGACGAATGGAGTGGGGTTTCAGGCTCGGCTCAGCACTGGCTCGTGGTCGTCGACGGTTTACAGCGTGGCTGTGACGCCGGCCTCGAGTCTCGTACAGATGGTAGTAGCTCGTGAAGAAGCGCCCCAATTTCCCTCGGAGCGAAATTGTTTCAATGCCGGCGCCCTAAGTGGCAATCGCCCAGCCGTGGGTAGGTAGGAACTCAGCATAGGTACAATGGGTGTGTTGTTTGAGTTTGCCTCCTCCAGGTTGGCACCACCCACTAATAGCTCGAAGCTGGATCACTACCTGCCAGCCGCTCGCCCTATGGAGGCCCGCCGCCTGTGTACAGGTACGTAGTGCAACCACTGTGCCGCACCACATTGCATCACGAGGGGTGGAATGTCTTTTTTGGCGCAACATGATCCCGCATTGCTTTTCTGACTCTGCCCGGCCGTCTCGTGTGACCCAACTCGGTCTCAAAATCTTCTTCACCGTTTGCGTCCCATTCGGCATGCTTTTCAATCGTAGCATTGGCCCCGGTCATGCATGATGGCGACGCCTCTTCGCGAGAAACCCAATTTTTAACTGAGGGGGGGAAGGGGTGGACCGTACCTAGGTACCTAGGTAAGGTAGTTAAACGATGTCGAATTGACTGACAGCGTAAACCTGCCTTGACACCCACCCTTCAGGTGACGCGTCAACGCCAGTCTTCGTGTCTCTCGGTCCTGTTCATGCTGGAGGTAGAAAGTCCCACAGTCAGGTGCGACACGCAGGAATAGAAAGTTGCTTGAAATTCCCATGTTTGGGGTGGTTCACTGGCAAAACCCATCTGATGTTCAGTCCCAAGCCACACGGGGCGATCATCAGTACACCCTCCCCACTCACCACACTGCCCCCCGCCCCTCCCTCCCTCTCAGCCTCAGGCCACCCACCACATTTCCCGGAATTTTACTGTACGATTGACAAAACTCTGTACGTCCATCAACGTGGACTGATGATGCCAACGGCCGGGGAAGAACAGCTGATACTCCCATCTGTGATGTCAATTCTCAGAGGGAAATGAGACGCTGATGGTCCGGTTAGGGGATGCCAGAATTTCTTCGAATCCTCGTTCATTCCCTTCCTGGCACCACCCCCCGTTTCCCCACGTTCCTATGTGCTAAGACACTGCTGATCCGATTGCCGTCGCCCAACATGAGTCGACCCTGCCACACAGGTATGCCGTGTTTGATGTGATGGGTGACCACCCTCCCCTCCATACCTGATCATACATGCGCAGCCGGATTCCGGGGTGTTGGGCTGCTAGACCTTTGACCTGCCTTGCCTGATGTAGCCTCTCTCCATCATTTGCGTCCTTCAACAGATGGAATGACGAGGGGGAGCCGGCTTTTCAGCCCCTAATTCAACCTCATCTCCTCATCCAACGGCCAATGCGCTGCGAACCTTACAAAACACCACGCTTCCAAAAACGCGAGATAGCCTGGGCAAAAGTTTTCTTTCATTATCATAAAAGCTGTCTTGAGGGTTCATCATTATCGTCATGGTCATGCGCGTCACCTATGGTGATCACGGTCAAAATGCAGCCGCCCTCCCTGCCTCCGTCTCGTGTCCAAACTCGTTCTCTTACTCATTCTTTTGGCTTCTTCAAGCTTCACCCTCCCTGTCATGAACAGCCATTGTTGGTCGCGACGTTGAACCATGGTGATCCGTGCTGCAGTTTGACGTGATCGCCAGACTGTCGACTGTCGTGAACACACGCAGGCTCCATCGCAAACAACGCAGACCATCTCAGAGTCCTTCCATCCACGATCATCTCGAAAAGAAAATCAAGCAAAACCCGCTAATCAAAAGAATCTAGCCGTCCCCGTCAATATCGTGGTTGTTATGGGTGTTTTCAGTCGCATCGTCGGATCATCCCCTCGCCACGTTCGCGCCTCCAGCCAGGGGAGGAAATCAGGTCGGCCATTCAGAGTTGCCTCCAAATAAAGCCGAGTGGTGTGGTGCAGAAAGTTGGCCTCGAGGTGCTGGAGCTGGTACTGTAAGACCCCAGCCCAGAGGACCCCCCACCGTTGTGTGTCGTTAAGTCTTAATCGATGCTGGCAAAACTGAAGAAGAAAGCCGTCCCATCCGTTCTCGGAAGCGAAAAAAATAAAATGCTTGGCGAGCTATCAAAAAGCGGAAAACTCGAGCCATGAATGGAGCGGAGTGTCCCTTGAGGAAAATGACAGAAAAGGGAATGCTGCGGAAAAGGCGCAGAGAAGGGCGCAGGAATCATGTCTAAGGTCATCAAATCATTGTCGATCGTTCTGTATGAGAGGAAGTGAGTCGAAACAAGGTGTGCGTCGCTTTTTTTTCGTGGCGGATTCCATATGTCCTTCTGACGGTTCGTGTGGCTGATCATTCTGCGTCTTTCGAATGACCAGTTTCTTTACTGCTCTCCAAGACTCAGCACAAGAGCATTGAAACTGTGCTGGGCACACTTCCAATACCCAAGCACCAGATTGTCCTTGGTTGTGCCACTTCGGTGATTCGGCAAGAAAAGCATGCTCGCAGGTGGAGGAGGCTGAGCATCGGCGCATAGCGGCAAGTCGCGGGCCCCGTGCTGGCCTATTCGAACGAGGCAGTCGAGCTGCTGCTCGAGTGGTGTCCAGATCGGCGGTTGTCACGCTGGCTGGAAGCCATGTGGCGGCTCTTCTTGGAGGAGCGGCGAGGAGCCTCAGTGGCCGGGAGGCCCTGGACGATACCGTTGCGAGCGAGCATGCCTCCGTTGACTGAGAAGTTGCGGCACACCATGAAAGCCCTCATGGCAGCATTCTCCTGCGCAAGCACGTCCGATTGGTAGGCCAGATCAGTCTGGTACTCTCGTCCGTTGACAAGGACGAGGCACGTAAAGCCGCTGGGGTCACGGTAACACTCGTACGTAGGATCTTGCCACCCACGTCGTCGGCAGAGACCTACACGGAACGATCAGTCAGCGCCTTGATCTAACGGAAGACCTCCCGAGGCACGATCTCGGGACAAGAATGAGGCTGGGCGTTGGTTCAAATTGATGCACCCCTTATGACGCCAGAGAACCTGCATTCAAGCCCAACTCGCTGTAAGATGACCCTGCCAAGTGCACAGGACCCCTGATACAAGGCTGACGACGATAGTTGAGCGCAGTCATGCCCAAACATCACAGGGATTCGACTCGTCCAGATCAGATGAAGCAGGAACACCGTGGCAATCGTACCGCCCTGGTGAAATGCAGGGGCTACCACACCTCTTAGGCGGACTCATCGTCATCTTCGACCTGCCAACCCGCCCCACTTACAAGGGCCGAAATTGGGTGCGAGGCCTTTCGGCAAGCAGAGCGCGAACAACACAGGTATACAGAGGGAAATCAATGGCTCACTTACTCTCCAGATATTGAGTGTAGAAGCCACCCATATTGGTCCAAAGGCCCAATGCGTTGTTGTTGTGTGGTGGTAGATGTTTGACGTCGACGGCTTTGGTACAGGAAGTAAGAACGAGGGACAAGTATTGGCGCGTGGGGAACGAAGTGTCTCGGAAAAAAGTGAAGCTGTGGAAAAAAAAACAATGACCGCCAGCCAGCAGACTATGGCGCCAAAAACCCGGACGCCGTTTTTCGATGCAGTCGGGCCCAACGTGAGGCGAGCGAAAGTACGTTGCGCACACCAAGCCCTAAGAATAGGAGGCGTAGGGCAGCAATGGGGAGGAGGGGACGACGGACGTGGTGGAAGAGAGAAGATGGTCGGGTAGTGTTCAAGTGGGCGTGGTGTGTGGGCGGCGGTAGGCAGTTAAGCTACGTAGCTTGGGATGCAGGAAATCCGGACCATCAACGGCGAGACATGTGTGCTTTATTGCAGGATGAGGAACAGGACGTGGTGCGGGGCAAGGCCACTCGGCAGCGCGCGCGAGCAGACAGGAGATGAGGAGACAGGGAGAGTGGTGAGGGGAGCTTGGGGAGGCAACTGGGACTCGAGACGCAAGAGGAAATGACGGAAACGCCAGCAGGTGAGGATGAACGGGGTCCTCGCAAGGGAGATGCAAGCGGCGATGCGGCTCTCGAAAGTGTGACCCATCCTGATGTGTTGGCCTTCTCGTCGCCAGTTGATAGTACCACTGGCGACTAGGCAACTCCACCGCAACACATGGGAGGGGGGGAGATGCACCATCCATGATCCAAGCGAAGATCTCTGATAAGTTTCGGACGAAGCCTGTCGCCTGTGGTGCAGTACCGCTGTTGGTCCATGTTTACCTCAGAAAGACCGATGGCTACCTGAACTCTCTTCTTTGCTTGCCGCCGCTGCTGGGACAACAAGCGCTCAGGGTCGACCGACCACAGCCATCGACTACCGAATGGGGGTGGACTTGGATCCCGGACCTCACTCAGCGGGTTTGGCTACCCGCCTGGGACTTGGGACTGAATCCTGTGGCTGGGTGCAGAACAAGCCGCCGCCGACCGACCGGGCAGCACTTGCAGCAATAGTACATAGTAGCAAGCAGACCTTGCAAGACAGTGGCGAAATGGAACCATTGTCATGACGGTGGCTAATCCCGCGTAGCCTGCGAGGTGGGCAAGCGGGCGAGAAGTCATTGTGTCGTGGACCCGTTTTAGAGCACTGGTCACAGTCTTCGCGCCGGCTTGGCAACAGACCAGTAAAACGCAATGTTGCCGGAGAAGCGCATCAAGACAGATGACCGGGCTTGGGATGGGTGGGCTTTCCAGCTTCGTCGCCAGGATAGAAGGGGGAGGGGAGGGGAGGGGAATCGTAGAGTTCAGAGCTCACAGGTCCCGGAGTCGAGAGCCTAGGGGGTAAAAACAAAGAACCAGCCAGAAATCCGGCCTCCAAGATCTTTGTCTTAGCTGCACTAATGCAAAGAACATCAGCCAAAGAGAACGGCTCGTTTAGTGCTAGGGCCATTGAAATCGAAGTCAGGACGGTAAATAATACCACCACCTGCATGGCCACCTGTCATGGTGCCGCGGGGGGGCCTGGGAGGCTAGAGAGGCTTCTGCGTCATGTAGGTGCATGCTGGTCGAGTCCATTTCAAGTACCAGCCAGCTTCTTGGAGGGGCGGCGAGCGACGACGGTCGTCGGTCGGTGGGCTGCGGCCACATTCAGCGACCCGAGGGTAAGGATCAGAGGAACCAGGCCGACCATTCGATTTACCGCTGTGCCGACCAGGCCTTGACGAATGCAAGGTGATGTCTGTAATGATGCTTGATATCGACACGGTGATACACCCGGATGCAAGGCGATACAGAATTCTTTCGCCTCTCCATCGTTGTGTCCCATCCGACATCCCTTTCAGTAAAGACAGGCATGGGCCTTTGAGGTGCTTGGGACAGTGAACGGTCCGTCATCTAGGACAGCCTGCCAGTAATCGAGGGGCCAGCGGTTGTCGGCGACAGCTACCCGAATTCGAGGGGGTAAGGGACTGGAGTGGCTCCAGTCCTAAAACACAAAGAGAAAAAAGAAGGTCGGTGAAGACGGCCGTCGCCAAAGCAGCCAGAAAAGACGTGCATGAACAGCAAGCAGTGGCTGGGCCAGGGTGCCGAGCGGGGTCGATGCTCTCTTGTTCGTTGGTTTGAAGGCCGATCGGTGGCAGACCAGGGTCTTCCGGGCACAACAAAGCCTACGAGAAGCCCTCCAGAGAGGGTCCAGTCCGTCGCGAACACAGATGACGAGCGGGCGGGGGCGAGCATGACGGCGCCGGCCCATCAACGAGCCAGCAAGACCCAAGGGCGCTCCGTGTTTGGTCGCTGGCGTGGGCAGGCAGGCGAGGCAACCAAGCCAAGCTTGTAACAGCCTTCGAGACCCTCTGGCTCATGCACTGATGAGTTGGCATTGCTTGCTTGATATTACCTCGGGCGCAAGTAGAGGGAGCCACCGGACCGTACAGAGTACGTGAGCAACAGTTGGGATCCGATGCACCTGGAGATGATCGCAGGTGGTTATACCTGGCGGTACGAGTCGCCGTACCCTTTGTATTAGGGAGTGGCTCCCGTCCGAATTCTCGGTCGAGTCGGGCGTTGTGAGTCGTCGTCCAGCGTCTCGCGTGGCCTGAATCCAAACAGCCTGACTATCCAACCGAACTCAATTGCTAGTCCCCTCGTGGAGTCACAGCAAATGCGTCGATGCTTGATGCCTGTCCCTGCGTGACATTGTCTTACCAACAAGGTAGGTAGTCTAGGAATTCTGTGTACTGCAGTCTGTCCGCCTGTCTTGTCCTGGTCTCCTTGTCTCCTTGTCTCCTTGTCTCATCGGCACCAAAGCTGTGCTACTGAGGGAGCTTAGGGCGTAGTGGTGGCCTGCCACGAGAGGCGGCGTGCTGTGATTTGACAATTGGAACCATTTCTGGAAACCAGCTTCGGTCAGCGTTTCCATCGACTGGCTGAAGCTGAGATGACATTCCGCTGGCGCGCTGGACGGCGCGCTTGAGAAAGAAGCCAACAAGTGTAATGATGACACACGATATCGTGATATCGAATGAGGTGTTTGGGATTGCGTCGTGTCATGTTGCCCATCTGCACAAAATGGCATGGTGCTCCGCCTGATGAGGTATCACGGGTTTGGGCCATTTGCTGGTTCGCAAGGTCAAGCAAGATTTCAGTGCCGGGGAGCCAGGACGCTCCAGAGAGCGGTTACATCAGCGGACTAAATTGCTCAGGCTGGTTTTGTGGTCGGCGTTTGCTAATCCATTCCGTGGCATGATTGAAATCCGAAGCGTCTCTGCACGAGAAGATGCGTGTTCGAGATTGATCGACTGTTGGTAAGGTAAGATAGGTACCATGTACTATGTAGACCAGGAGGATAGACGCTGGGTCGAGGCGCCGAGGTGTACCTGTACTGTAGGCGCTGGACTGGTGATGGAATCTCCGGAGCAGCCATTGCCTCTTTGGTTTGCAACATGTCCGTCCCACTTGGCCTGGAGGGGCATTGGGTCCTGGCGGCAGTCGTGAGGGGGCTGCCTGGCGATTGGGCTATCTGCAAAGATACAATAACATGAAAGACCCCTCAGCAAGGGCAACTTCCTTGGTTCTGAGATCGCAATATCGGAAGGTACCCTGCCCGGACATCGAGTACATACTAGGTAGGTATGTAGACAGATACAAGGGGAGCGGCGGCTGCCATTCCCCCCATTGTACCTTCCTACCGAGGGTCGAGCGTGGCAGGCGCCCGCCTAGGTACCTTCCTGCACCTTCGTCTTGCTACCTGTGGCACTGGAGACCCTGGCTCTCGACCTGGCCTGGCTCGGACAAGGAATGCCATCTAGCGTATCGCCAGGGATTCATCCCACTTTCACCTCATCCTCGTCCCTCAAGAAATCCATCAACCAACCGAATGACCTGCAGACTCTTCATCGCGTCGGAAGTTCCGAGGGGCCATCACGAGGGTGAGTTTCCATTCGGCGGTCTACAATAACATGCTATGCGCGCGGCATGTCATATCCCCTCCACCATGGCATTCAGCGTGCTAGTTTCCCAGCGATCGTACGCCAGGTTCCCCTCCTTTCACCGACGAACGGCGGTACATGCAGCTGGCAGCTTGCGATGTACCGTCCGCCACGAAGCCATGCTTCCAGCCCCATCCATACTTCGTACAAGTCGCTTCCAAGTCAATCGTTCATGGATCACTGTCCATTACAACCCAAGGCCTCCTTCGCGTCAAGCCCCCACTCCCGCAACCAGCTCCAGCGTACGAATACACCTCCTACGACCTGCGGGATCTTCCAGATGTAACATGAACAGTGTTTTCTTGCCGACCGCCATATGCAGTCGACCCCACGCCGCCACTGTGGACGGATGGCTGTGGAAGCAGGCAGGTAGGCCACCCATTGTGCGGGGCCTTGGCGGCCCATTTAGGGGACCGTGTTCTCGACCTGAGGGTGTCAACAAGAAGACGGTCCGAAGCGCTCTCTCCTTCCGCTTCTTGCGTTCAAATGCTTGTCATCAGCCTGCTTCGCATGGAGTATGCAAAAATATCGCGGCATCACTTCGAATCCTGAGAGGCGCGCGTCTCTCTCGAGACGCCGACGTATATATCTGGAACTGAAATATTCATAGGTTAACCGGCTCAGCCGTCTGCAGCATGGCATGCATCTCATCCAGGTCTTCCCACCACGGCGTCCAGCTCCTCGGCGGATCCCGCCCACTTCCTACCGCAGGATTCGTCGTTCACTTTGGAGCAATGTCTCTGCGAGCCTGATCTGTCAAGTGCACTGTAGGCCTCGTACACGCAAGTTGTGTCAGTGACGGCCACTCGGAGAAGTTCATGAGCAATGTGACAGACTAAAGAAGTGCTGGACTGAAAGTTCAACCCGCGAGAGTCATGCATACAAACGACGCGGTACTGCAAATGGGGTCTCGCACCGGATCGTCCGGTGGGCGGACAATGTGGTGAGCTCTTGCCCGAAACGTCATGTTGTGCGTCGAACGTGGCGTATGTACGACGTAGATTCTGACTGGGAACCTTCTTCCCCCGAGAGGCTGATCGACTCAATGATGCCTTGGCCGCATATCATCAACCGCTGATATGGCAACCCGTTGTAGCTCCGGGGCTCGTTCCATGAAAAGGACACCATCCATTCATTTTGGCCTATCGAGGAGCAGTAACATTTACCGTTACATGTGTGAGACGGCTCTTTTTCAGCCTTCTGCATACTGCGAGTAGTGATATACAGTTTCTCAACTGGACAAGGGGACCGGTGAGCTGCGACCAGCTTTCGACGTGCGTTATAATCAACCATGACACCTCGTGTCATTACACACACAGTACACGAGGTTTTGTAGTTCCATTGCTAGAGCATTTCAGGTCGCTGAAGACATGGACGTCCAAATCAAGCCGTACGGTCGATTCCTAACCACGATGCACAGTCACACCACAGCCGAGGCCGCAGCCTTCAGTCTTGTCGGTCGTTGACGTCCAAAATGTTCCTCAGCCATCCAAACCGGAATAGAAGATATGGCCTATGGCCAATGACCAATCCTTTCGAACAGCCACTTCTCTACGGTTGCCACGTGACGCAAATGTTCAAGTACGTGCCTTGCCGCAATCGCTCGCGGCACCCCTGTTCCACATATCTACAAGTAAGTGCGCCCTGTGGCCGCCTCATACGAGGCCGACTTGTCATAGCAGGAATCGATAACAGGACAGGACCGCAGGCAGAAACAATCAACAGACCCCGCTTTCGCCGCGGACTAGAACCCTGTCTTGGCCGCAAAGTAGGCCTTCATGGCATACGCCTTCTGCTCGGGAATCGTGTACGCGGGGTGGATCGTGGCGACGCGGTCCTCCTCGTCGAACACCTGATCGGCACCCGTGCGGGGCCTAACCCTCCACCTGGGTTCCGCCAGGATGGTGTCGTCTTCGCCGACGTATGTCATGTCCCAATCGTGCTGGGCCGATGTCAGGCCGCTGAGGACGTAACAAGAGTGGTACGCGTCAGAAGGTCTGGGCCTCAAGTTAGCCACGCCTGCTGCTGCCACTGAAGGCGGAAACAAACAAACGACGAAAAGGGCACACACCTGCTGGGTTTGTCGCGCAACCCTCCACGCTTCGACTGATCCTGGGCGCAGCAGAGGATATACCGGATGAGCCCTTCTCTGCTGAACCATTCTTCTTCGTGCGGATCACCAGGACGCTGGCTGTTAGCTGGCAGTTCACCCTCATCGTCACAGACATTTTCGTCAAGCTCGCTGGCGCCGTTCAGTGCGGCATCGACGAGGGGCCAGCAGCCGCCGACCCAGTGGCTGTAGCAACCATCGACGAGCTTGTTCGTCCGGCCACTGAAGCCGCCCTCGGGGGCGTACTGCGCGAGGAGAGCCAGGAGATGAGTCGTGCACGTCGAGGTACCTGAAGTGTGTTGCCTGCGTCAGCGCCATGCTGCCTTGCTTGACCCTTATGTGTGGCATGCTCTTGCTGGCCGAGAAAGGGGGGGGGGGAGGGGGGGCTGCGGGCGGCTTGGGTGTGGTAGGGGACGCACTTTGGGATGATTCGGTGCGGGGCGTCAAGTATGGCGAGACAGCCCAGGGCACAGAATGTGTATGCTCCGTGTGCTTCCGTGTCAGGCTTGCCTCCGAGGCCGCCTTCAAAGGTCTGGCCTAGACGGTGGGGTGGGTGTGTCAGTCGGGGTGTGTCTCAATTCTACATGCAACAATAGAACAGGGGCAGGTCTAGTTATGCCTGCTTGCCAGCCAGCCTGAAGACAAAAAGAGCATCAGGGGTTGACTCACATCTTCGGACGAAAGTTCGGCTAGGCCGGGTGAAGAGGGTGGTCTTGCCGTCGGGGGTGTAGGCCGGGGAGTCGGGCGACAGTTCGAGGGGCATGTTCAGGAGGCCAGCGATGACGGTGGTGCAATAGGCACCCCTGGAAGCAAGCGGGAAAAGGAACAACAGGTAAGCGTGGTTTTCGTATGGCGAGATGGCGCCGCGAGCCGTTGTGTTGCATCGGCGCGCATCATGGGGAGCGTATGAGCTTACCTCACGTCGACTTCACCGCCATACGCCATCTGCACGCCGCCGTCGGGCTGTTTGAGGGAACACAACCACTTCCACATGGCTTTCCTGTCGATGACTTCGTAGAGCTCCTCGCCGCCGACGATGGCGATCGAGAGGATCAGCGCAAAGCTGGTGGCGAGGTGGGACATTTGCCCGTGGCCGCCACCGAAGCCACCATTCGGGTTCTGCATGGCCCTCGCCGTATCGATGAGCTTCTGCCTGTACATGGAAACGTCCTCGCCGAGCAGAGCCAAGCCGTTGAGGGACCAGAAGAGGAACCATGGCCGACTCGCGTCCGCGATGAGATAGGGGGCGGGCAGCTTCCCGAGCTGCTTGTGGAGATACTTTACGTGAGCTTCACGTCGAAGCCTGGGTACGCCATGGCGGTTGAGCTCGAGAGTGTCTGAGTCGCCAGCGAGGAGCGGGAGGCACTCATGCATGGTCGCGTTCTGTTGGGTCAGCGTGTGCGACCGGTGTGTTTCCTTGATGGGCGGCGGGGATGTGAAGATTGCGGGCACGGGCGAGAAGCTCTGCCTGTCCATCTGCGATGCCAGGAGGTCCTGTTCGTCGGGCTCGGATGCCGAGATATCGACGAAGCCATCGTCTGTCTCATTCACCACTTTGGCTTCGCTCTCGGCGGGTCGCCCCGTGTCTGCTGGCGTAGAAGCGGCAGCCATGGCAGCAGCTGATGGTCTACTGCGCCTGAATGCGACTCTGGTGCGGTGGTTCTCCGGTCTGACTCGGCGGTTTGTGCTGGTCGCGCTACTGTTGTTGCTGTTACTGTTGCTGTTGCTCATGCTTCACCACATGGAGGGGTTGGCGGGGCGGGGGGGGGGAGGGGTTTTGTAGTGGCTGTCGACGTCGTCCCTGGCTCTCCGTTCAATTCATCCTCATACTCTCCATGTCTTGTAGCTTCCTTTTCTCTTTGATCAGACTGATCGGTCAAGTTGAAGCTATGCTGACATGAGAACAATCACAAGATGGTTTTCACCTTGTCATTGTCAGTCGTGGATGAGGTTGGCCGTGGTGTGGAGCTCGAGAGCTCTGATTGGTCTATGGAATGTGTGGCTCAATTTGGGGCTTGTCTCGGCCCGCTCTAGCGGGGCCTTCAGGTAGCCAAGCCTAGGTAGGTAGTGTAGGTTGGTAGGCCAGAAGAGCCCCTTTCTTTGTTGACCGTGGGTTGTCAAGCCTCTTTCAGGGTCATGTCTCGAAGCCACGTGCGGTAACTCGGCCGAGTGGTCATCGCTCGGGGTCTTGGGCAGACGTGTAGCATGTGCTCAGGCAGTGAATACCCAGCACGGTGCTTGCAGTGATCAGCACACGCCACGGCATATCTTGACCTTCACGATGCGGGTTTTGCTGCTTCTGAAAGTGCTTTACCCCAGTCCAGAGCACGCAACGAGGAGACTCGACGCAGCAGCTGCTTGGCAAAGTCTGTTCAACTTGACGACCCACACACCATTAGACTTGTTCTTCAGAGCATGGCGTCCTAAAAGCGCGTGTCGTTCGAAGTCCTTCTCTCCTGTGATGTCTTCTCTGATTGTATGAAGAGGAGGTTGTTCGGGCCTCCATCGCCACTGCTCTTTAAAGAGATCGACATGCTTGAATTGGAGGTACTTATGCCTTACAAATTGGATCAAGCACGATTTTGAAAGACGCTGTTGTTCGCACATGCCTCGAGCATATTATCTCTGGTTTCCTTTTGGCACAGTTCGCATATAGCATTGTGTTCGTGTAATAACATTAATAACCTTGGAGACACTTATTGAACCGAAGATATTTTCCATGACCGTGGTCCTTGTTTCTGAAGGCAAAGACTTGGAATTGTTAGTCCACAAATGTCAGAATTGACATGAGACAGGATGCCAATCAAGCTTCCTAACTAACCTTTGGCCTACAGAAAGCCTGAAACTAGACCAATCTCTAGTAGCAAGTTGGCCGGCTGTTTAGAGTCAGCGCCGCGTCACTTACGCTAGAGACTCGACGACCGGGCTCATCCATGAAATAGGTGTGAGCTTGACGCTTGTCGTTGTGTCAAATTTGAGCTCTAATAACACAAGAAAACAGGCTTCCGGGAAGTTGACCACAATACCTTGCTTGAGCAGAATGTAAAGCACGAATTCTTTCTCCGTCCTGGGCTTTTACCACCTCCTCCTTATCTATCCTTCACAAACTACATCCCCTTTGCGATAAGAATACATAATACGGGCCGGGCGGGGGGTTGGGGGGTTCCTGAGCATATCTCGCCACTTGTCACTTGAAGTTTGCCCCTGGGGAGTTGTGACCTCAACGTCAGCCTTCGCATCAGTTCTGGTACCCGCAAGCGCCATGGAGCTTCTATACCGTTTTCGATAGCCTCCACCAGCAACAAAGGAGATGGCGTTCTCTATGTGCCATAACATTCTCTTGACTCGACACACACCCGAAGCCTGTGACAGTCTCCGGATAGGCTGCACATACGAACCTCACAAACATAACAGAATCTCAGAACCCTAACATATTCATCTTCTAACCTACTGCGAGGCACAGTGGGCGCACATTGATAGATAATAACATCGAGGTTGTTCTAGCTATTCGTATAACGCTTTTTTTACCAGCGAATGTCGTTGGTGTCAGGCGACCCTGCGGAGCCGCCAAGCAGGGGGTCGACCAGGGGCTAAGGGCTACGAGAAACGTATATATACCGGCTACGGAGGGCCCTCCAAGCTACGGAGGGCTAGAATTCAGATATATTCCAACCCCCTACCTATCATCTATTGCTGCGGACTACGTATGGAAGACCTCTTCACTCTGCTTTACCCAACGCTCTGACACTTGGTGAGTCAAAATGCCAGGTCACTCTGCTCCCACCATATATTGTAACAGAGTGAAACAGGTGTGTTCGGAATCCTGGATCTTGCCCGGTACAGACTGCGGGAGATCGATCAATTCGCCACGCAAGAAAAGACCAGGAGCTGCCGCCCGCTTCTAGATGCCTCACTTCCAACCTCACAATCACAAGCGCCTAGCTCAGCTCATTCCTTCACGTTGCCGACGTGCTTCAGAATATGCTTTACATGTAGAAATGGCTTGCGACAAACGTTGTATTGAGCTCAATAGCGAAGTCCCTAATCTCGCAGGTGACGAGGAGGGCTGGTTCGGATGTACAGGTTTTCATGCCATTGTGAACTGTATAATGACGCCAAATATGCTTCTACGACTACGTTGATTTCCTGTCTATGGCCACAGACTTATAGATGATGAGCTCACGCTGTCGACAACATCCACTCCAACAGAACAATGTATGCGTAGAGATAAGGGTTAATAAGGCTCGGCATGCTATCGTATTCGTTTGTGTGAAAGCGTCAATGAACGTCCGTCTTGTGAAGAAAAGAATGAGCCCAAACACAGTCAATCACAGCTGCCATCAGGTAGCCCGTCTTATCTTTGTAGTTTCTTTTTCCCGAATTATTGAATCTACAACTTTGAAGCCTAAATATATAAAGACGTTGCTATGTGGCTATCGTAACCCGAGCAAGGGTTTGGGATGTCCCTTGAGCAATACATCGAGAAACTCCATTGATTCTCACGGCTGCCACAGCAAGACCGAAAATAAGAGGAAGGGCGCCGAGAAGGGCTTGAGACTGGTCAGAGGGCGACCGCGATTGTCCGTCAGTCCATTCTTGTACCAGACTAACTCAAGCCCATGACGACGGTTTAGACGCAATAATTCACTGGATTGTCTTGACTCTCTATCGACTTCAACTCAGTCCTTACGCTGTTCATGGCGCACTCCTGACTCTGCGGTTTCACTGTATTGCCATACCTAGGTCGCAACAGTCTCAGTTGGCCGAGTTGTGCAAGCTCGCCACCAAATGATTTGCACGATAGGATTGCAGGAGCAGATACATTCCATTCGTCAACATCGGACGGCATTGCTCGAAGCACGTCATCCACTACAGACGACAGGAGATGTTGCTCATGTGCTGAAGCAGCCCGATGATGCCGACCTCCCAAAGGCTCGACCTGCAGGCGACATCCTCGCCTCCCACCGCGGAAAGTAGCAGGAAGAGCTTCTCCAAGACCCCGCCCCTCACCCTGCAAGCAATCGCTCTGCATCCTATGAAAGCAGCCGTGCTGTACAGACAGCTCACATGTGCATATGTGAGACGCATCCATGCCGGGCGCCACCGCCATGATAACCACATTGTACGTCTTGCAGTTGCAGCAAAGCATGCCCAGACGCAGAGGGTAAGCGGAGGAAAAAGAAATCTCAGCCCAACCCGCCCCGCGCCACGGCAGACCTGGGGGGGGGGGAAGGATTTTTGATCCTGAATACGCCCTCCGCAACGACAGCGTCAGTCACACGCGCCAGAAAGAGGGCCAGGAGGAGGAGAGGGAAGAGCCCCTCTTCATCGGTTCCCATCTCTGCCAGGTACCCGTTCCAGACGTCGGAACTAATCTCAATCCAACGGTATTCGTCAGGCACCAACCGTGAAATTTCGTGATCACGCTTCAACGACCAAGACAAATGGAAGAATGCCCCCCACCGAGTCATGGGCCTCGCCCCCAGTGCTTGCGACCATCCGATGTTGAGATTGAGCGAGGCATTACGTGCAGAGGCGTGTGGCTGTTAGCACGGCTGCTGCACATGTCGGTCTTCAGCACAGAATTCCAGAAAGAGCATCGCTTGTGCAAAGTCCCGCTGTCGGTTGCCAATCGTGCATCTTTCCTCCCAGGATTGGCTCGAGCGAGATGGTGTGGATACTTGCTACATTAGGGGGGGGAGCGGGCCACGCCACCACGATACCGTCACGTTGCGGGCCACGGATCCGGCCTCTCGTACACCGCACATTCGGTGGAATGCTCGTTGCAGGTGTCCGTGGCCGCAAGGAAGGGTAGGAGGGGGGGGGGAGGGAAGTGTTGCTTTTCCCCCGTGTATGGCACGCCTTCGGGACAACTACGACGCGTGCACCATCGTTGACGGGGATGCACCCAGGATCTGTCGTCTTTCGAGTACTTCATGAGCCAGTAGCAGTAGACAACAGGCAGGAATGGCGTGTGTCTGGTCGGAATATGGTTCGAAACCTGATTCAGTTCTGCACGAACAGCGTACCTATCGAGGGGCCCTGTCCAACGCTCGGCACAGTGAGACATCTCAGCCATCCTATATCGCGGGGTCGTCGCAGCACAGCGTCCCGTGGCCTGGCTTGCCTGGGCTGTAGGTGGTGTCTGTCAGACGTTCAGGGCCGCAAAGACGGGCGAGAGCGCAGGCCCGTCATATGGCGGCATCGCACACACCCATATCTTGATGTTTCAGACAACGTGCCATGAGGTGCCACAGGGACTGGGAGACGGAAAGAGAGGGACCTGATTACAGTAGAGGCGGCAGGGCCGGGTGAATAGAAGTGCCAGAGGCTGACCAGCGGTTGGAGGCAAATATGCAGGATGATGCTGGGGGGGGGGGGGGGGATTTCATGCCTTGTTAGCTGCGGGCAACCGAGCATGCGTACCTAGGTGGCACGACACCAATGGCATTCAGCAGCAGCAGGCGCCGTCGTTGAACTGGTGCCGTTTCTCTGCACGTCGAGCCTATCGTCGGATCTCGGGCAGTCCCTCAGCTCGACCACAGCAGGGCAAAGCATCTGAGTCTTAGTTGTTCACTCAACGCGCGCGCTCAGAATGAAAGCCCCCCTTCACTTCACTGCCACGCCATTTGCTTGCTTTTGCCTCGTCGTTGGCAGACTGCAGCAGCGACCAACGATCAAGATGATTTGACAGCCGGAAATAGGCCAGTCTGTTCGGAGGCCTGGATGCAGATCTCCTGCAGGTGATCTCGGCGAAGCCAATTGGTGAGACGTGCGTCGCGGTAGAGGTTGGCTAACTCGAACTGATCGTCGCAGCTCGAGCTGGGAGCTCCATGCACTGTGTCGCGGAGAAATGGGGACAGAAACGGGTATTTGTCGCGCTCGGCCTCAGATGGACCCTGGAATCCGCTGTCACCGATGTGAGGTTGTTGACTGTATCGCGATGCTTAATGGACTGGCACTATTGATGAGGGGGCACCAATCCATTGTTTCGTCGTCCGGGCTAGCTGTTGGATAGATCATGGGCCGAGGCGCTGGCTGCCCTGTCCAGCCCCTCTCTGCCCCTCCACACCTGTTGCCGAACCTGGCCTAGAAGTGCATTCGGAGTCTTACACATGTAGCAGGTTTCTTCTAGCTGTGGAGTGGCGCCTTGAATCGTTTCTACAGTGCTCCGAGTTGGTAGATCTAGCGGATCGCCCTCGTACCTCAGCTTGCACGCCTCATTGTTGACCGCGAGTTGAATTGAGTTGGATTAAGGAAACGCTATTCAAGCGCCTGGAGGACCGAAATCCAGACCTTGGATTACTCCGAGCTTGCTCCTCAGCAATGAAGCTAGCTATCTTGACGGCCGGCGCCTCAAGCTTCCGTGAAGCAGCAGCACCGCCCCAGGACCAAGCGATTCAACGAAGGCGAAGCAAGGGCTCTGCCTCGCTTCCTCTACTGCAGTGACGCCGACAGCTGCGTGTAAAGCCGGAAGACGAGTGCTTCCATCAACGTAGAGATGCGTAGTGATACATGCCACTCAATGAACCCCAGACAGGACGGCCGTTGGCAGGAGGGGGGAGGTTTTAGAAGTATGCGTTGTCCAAGGATGAAGGATTGAGGATTTAGAGGGGGTTGGTCACTTGGTGTGTTTCCAGCCCCTCGCGTCATCGGCTGCACGGACCAGAGAGAGGCATCAGCGATGCGATCTGGTGACAATGGCATTGTCCGCCAGGGGGAGCGCCAGCTCGTTGCGATCAAGATGGCAGCAACTCAATCGCGGACAAGGCATGTGCGCAATACGATGGGCTGCGGCCAAGAGCCACATGGGCAATTGGCAAATAGCAATGGTAGCTTGGAATGCAGCTGTGAGGGCGAAACTCAGATGTCAGACAATGTTCTGCTTCCTGCGATGGCATGACGAGTTGGCTCGCTTGTCCGAACTGGCGTGGGATGGGAAAGTCCCACAATCGGATAGGATGGCTGGGGGGCGATCGATCAAGCTGCGTGAAGTTGGCTCGTGGCCCTCAGTCTCGGGAGGGACCGTTGCGAAAGTTAAACAGCGCTTCCCTTTGTTGCTCCCTCGGCAAATGCCTACATCATACTGCACATCGGAAAGGCTCGCAACACACGCAGCATGGTGAGGTGAGGCGTGACGACTTGTTGACGGAACACTGCTATACCGTGCGAGAGGCTGACTGCATTCAACGGCATCCTTCTGATACCGTGTTCAAAGGAAAAAGCTGATACGGATCGATACGGATCGCAAGGTTGGTTTTCTGCCCGCTCCATGTGCCGTGCTCCTTGCTACGTCCGTTCCTTTGTTGGCGCTCGTTTCTCAGAAACACGAGGCCGTTTGATAGCCTTGAAAACTAGAGCCGGAAGGGGGACGTGGAATTCAAACAAAGCACCAAGAACATCAAATCACACCCTGCTATGACGAGAGCCGCAATTGCCGCAGAATACCATGTCCACTCTAAAAGCCCCCCCCCCCTGCGTAGGAGGGAGAGGGCCCTTGTTGGGGAGAGAGGGGGCTTTGCACTGAAACCCAGTACCCAGTTGACATTCCTGTCGGCCCACCTCGTGATCGACTTCAGCTACTGCTAGTCTATTGCCGCCGGCCTTGGAACCAGAACTGCTTCATCCCAGGCTCGGACGTGAGTTCACCTGATTCGATTCGTGAATCGGAGGATTATCGAGGCTAGGCGAGCAGGAACTCCCGTTGTGGATCTTCCAACATGCTTAAGGTCCTCTTCACCGTTCCTGGTGCAACTTGGAAACAGGGAAAATCAACGAGGTGAAGTGTATAACAATTTTTTTAAAAAAAATCCAAGGTAGGAAAACCAGGTAGGAAAACAAGGTAAGAAAAAATCGGGGATCAAGGGGTCGGCAGCATGGAGGCTCTTTACAGTTCCGGTCCTCACAGGTGGACTGCCTTGCCTGTAGGTGTGTCTTCACGATTGCCCATGTCCCTTATTATTTTAGTTGAGAAAAAAAGCCCTGGAGGCGATGAGAAAGCGGTCTGGACAGCCAGGGCCTGGTGGGCTCATGGGCTCGGCAAGCGCTGCACGGCGATGGAGAAAGCGTAGAGGCATACCCCACTGTGTGCCGCCCAAAATACAGTGCGAACCGATCTCAACACCGACACGGACACACGGAGGAACCAAACGGCACGCGGCGATTGGCCCTGGCGTCCGCGTGAGCAGCTGGGCCCCTGTCGCCATACCCCACCACTTTGCAGCTGCAGAGGCTGCGCTTGGACCCTTGATTGGCTCGCTCTCTCGGCTGGGGCTGGAAGTTGAACTGCATCTCTCACCGCCAGTTTCGTGGAGTCGTTCCTGCCTCGTCCTCGCGCTCTCCTCCTCCCACACCTGTCCGCCCGCACCGCCTACAGGTCCAGGTCAGACCAGGTCCAAAGGACGAGACCCCCAAGTCAGATCTGGGGTGGTCGTGTCTCTTCGTAGTCCTTGTCGCTTACCCCCCCGTCCCGTCCTGGTCGTCCTGGTCATCCTGATCTCGACTCCTCCTCCTCGAACCTCTTCCCGCAACCCCCAACCCCCAACCTCGTCCGTTCCCTCGATCAAAACCTCTCTCCCCGTTTTACCCGTGGAGAGCCCCTTCCAACGCTACGCTTCCTTTTTCTCCCCATCCCAAGACCCCGGCAAAAGAGCGGTGTCTGGCGGTGAGATAGCATATCACGAACCAACCTCCCACATCCCCACGAACCCGCCAACCCTATCACCTGGGCTGTCCCCCCTCTTGTCTCCATCAGTCACGATGAACAACATGACCTTCAACACCAGCGGAGGAGACGCATTCTGGGATCTGGGAGACGACCAACGGCAACAGTTTCAGCAGTTCACCCACCAGATGTCTTCAAATCAGCAACACATGGCCTCGACTTCAGGCCACAGCAGTCCCCAGTCCTCTCACGGCGCCATGCCCGCACAACGAATCTGGCCTATGCCCCTCGACATGAGTTCCGGCGCCATCGAGCACTCGAGCCCACCCGAGTCGCACCACCAGCACCATCACCAGCATCACTCGAGCTCGCCTGCGCAGAGCGCCTCGCCGCTGTCTCAGTCCTCGCCGTACCAGCAGCCCGGCAGCATGCTCACCGACTTTGCCTTGCAACAGCACCTGCAACAGCACCAGCAGTCCACGCCCGACTTCTCATCCTACATCTCCGACCCTTTCATGCCTGTGACCTACGACAGCTTTGCCTCCAACTTTGCGCCCATCAACCCCATCAGCTACCTGCCCGCAACAACCCAGCAATTGCCCACCAACTTTTTGCAAGCCGCCGCGTTCAACTCCATGCCGCCCATGGACGACAGCGTCCCCGCCATGACCTGGCCCAACCTTCCCATGGACAACTGGCAAGATCTTCAGGCTGCTGTGCCCCCCATGCAGCTTGGCTCCTTGCCGCACACTGTCGGCAGCAGCTCGCCCACCGGCACGTTTCTCGAGGTCCTGTCTCTTGCCAGCTCCAACGAGGGCAGCTGGATCATGGTCGGTGACCAGAACAACGCTGGCAGCTTCAACCAGTTCCAGCAGGCACAGCAGAACGCCGCCATTTTCAACCCTGGACAGACTCTGCACCTGAGGACAAATTCTGACTCGTCAGACGGCGCCAACTCGTTCGAGCTCGGCAGTTACGAGGAGATCCCGCCTTTCCCCATCTCGCCCTTTTCTCCCGGCTCCGACTCGTACCCTGAGCAGCACGCTTCTCACCGCAGCTGCTACGGCGAGAACCACAACCACCACCACGACACTGTTTCTCCGACCGCCGCCGTCGCCCCCGTGCCCATCCAGACCACCTCGAGCAGGCCGAGCCCCGCGAGCGGCTCTGGTGCCACCTCGCCGCCCATCGTGTCCACACGTCGCAACTCCGGCCAGCGCAAGAGCCCTACCAGCAAGACTGCTAAGCCTGTCATCCGCCGCACCTCCAACGGCCGCAAGGACGGCTCCGTCGAGAAGAAGGTTGGCCGCAGACGTGGTCCCCTGTCCGAGGAGCAGCGCAAGCAGGCTGGCGAGATCAGGAAGCTGCGTGCTTGCCTCCGTTGCAAGTTCTTGAAAAAGACGTGCGACAAGGGCGAGCCTTGCGGCGGTTGCCAGCCTTCCCACGCCCGTCTTTGGCAGGTTCCTTGCACTCGTATTGACATCAAGGATATCAACTACTTCCTCAAGGGCTGGAAGGTTGACTACGAGCGCCACACCAGCCGCAATGTCTCCGTCTTCAATGTCAAGGGCTTCTCCCCGAACGAGACCTTGATGTGGATCACCCACGGCTATGGCTTCGCCCTGCCGGTCTACGTCCGCGAGGTCTATGTCAACGACGAGAGTGTTTTCCAGGTCGACTGGGTTGAGTCTCATCTCACCGACCAAGAACCTATCGAGTTTGACATTCGCACTGATAGGCTGGATGTCGGCGCCAAGGGCGTCTCCGTTGATGCTCTGTCTGCCTACCTTGACAAGCACATTGACGGGCCTTTCGAGGAGTTCATTGACGACCACTTTGAGGGCACCCCCTTCATCACCGAGATTCTCAAGACTGCTCACCGCTTCTATGTCAAGGAGAAGATGCCCGTCATTCGCAAGGCTCTCAAGCTCGTCCTCGCTTACAACCTGACAATGCACATCACCATGATCCAGCAGCAAGGTGACGAGGCCGGAAGCGACGGACAGATAGATGACGAGGACTCCAAGTTCTACGGCCAGACCGTGGCCCCTGTCATGGTCAACTTCCAGATCAAGTGCGCCCTCGCCGATATGTGGCGTGAGCTGCAGCGTGACATCCTCGAGGAGCTGTCGTCGCTCTACTCGAGTGTCTACAGCGGCGAGCGACTGAAGAACTGGCCCACCATCTTCATGCTCGCCTCGATCCTGCTCGCTGTCTGGGAGGAGATGCAGTTCGACTCTCACTACCGCATGCCCGACCCTGCTGCCGTCAACAAGTTCTGCACGGACATGGAGACGACGCCCGTTGGTGTCATTGTCGGTCTCTTCCACGCCATCTCACAAAAGCTCCCTGCCTTCACCGAGTGGGACACCGCCAAGCACGGCCACATTCTCAACAACAACACGGCTGTCTGTGAGGCCATGACTGAAGTCCGCGAGCACGTCCGCAAGCATGGTAAGTTTTGCTTCCCTGATCAACATGACCAAGACAGATACTAATGGTCTTGACAGAGGACTACCTCCGTGCTCGTCCGGAGTGCACCTTTGACAGGAACGACTTCGACTGCCTGTCGAACAAGTTCCTGTCCAAGCTAGTGATCCGCGCCAACTAGGCCAGAAGCTGGCAGCACTCCGAAGACACCCCTTTCGCATAATGCACAAAGTGTACAATGCTCCTCTGAAGTCGTGGGGTCGGCTCATCTTAACTATTTCCTTTGTTCTGAATTTGTCTCCAGAGTCACAGCGACGGCGTTGCCACGAAGCATACACGCAAGACGTGTACTGCATTGATTGCTTATGAGCTTTTCAGCCACTCTTGGTTTTATCTGCCTCCTATCCCGTGGCTTGATCTTCTCTTCTCGGCATGCCACCGCACGGATGATATCTGACGAATGTGTCACGGCCCTTTTTGACGATTTACTCGTTTTACGATCTTCTTCGACGAATGTATGACCAACGGCAGAGGCCAGCGGGAAAAGGGGGAATGACGACCTCGCATGCGGAAGGGCGGCCAGGGTTATTTTTAACGTGCATTATTTTATCATGGGAACGACGATGGCCGGTACGACAGGTACGGAAGCGACGACAGAGCATACACACAATGACGATGATATGCATGGGACTCTGGCGTTTGACACTCCCCGAGGGACCGCCCTTGATGGATTTATCGAAACTTTTACTGGGCGGACGGGTTTATAGCCATGAAGGCTTCTGCCTATGATTGTATTCAGGCAGCTTGCGTTTATACTCAAAAGCAATTCTCCGTCACCGCGACTGTGCGCAAGAGCTTCTCTGCTTCTCGTGACTGTGTCGGTTTTCATTTGTGTGTTATACTCCAGGCAATCGTCACGACAGTATTGTTAGGCGCCTCGATGAAAGTGTCCAAATTCAGCCTCGCGATCGCATCGTAACATTGTTGTGACAGGGATGCCCGAATCCGACATAAAACAGGGCAGAGTCGATTGTCAAATGTCAAATACCAGGCACGGCACGGGATGGCCCTGGCCTTGTTGTCGCTGCTACGGCTGCTGCCATAGCCGCACCAAGTTGCGCAAGTTGACTCGTCATCGGCAAGGCTCATCGAACCTGTCTTCCCAAACACACGACCCCCAGCCCCCTTTGTCGCTGGGAAATCAGGGTGCTGGGCCTTGATGGCTCCTGCGCAAGGGAGATGACGTCGTTTCGGGAATTATGTCGCGGCACCCGATGTCGCTTACCCCGCACCTGGGCCTACCGTCAACGAGACACGCCTGAACACTCTTTCGGTCTGAAGTCGCGACCTGATCTGGCGGTATCACGACGACTACAGTTCGGCGCAAAGATTGGGGGGTATGTGGACGACTTAAGCTCAGGGCGAGGATGGGATCTACGAAGGAGGGGGCCTGCCAGAGGCTCTTCGGGTTGTGGTGGCGACAACGTGGTGCTTCCTCCGGGACTGTTCGAGGGTCTCTGGGTAAGGGGGGTGGGGGCGCTAGTGTTGTCAGCGTGGAGGGTCCAGATGCGGCGGGGAGGCCGACGGGTGGGTTTTTGGCGGCGAGGAATGGGGACCCGAGGGTCGGGGATGGGACAATGTCGTCGAGTGCGACATCGCGTTTCGGTTGAGATATGCGTGGAGGGCTCGAAATGAAGTGCGTGCTTGCTACGTTGCAGGTTCTGAATGCAAAAGCCGAGCATTTGAGCGGATGGCAGTCGCTGCGGATTTTCTCGGGCAGGATCGTTGCAACGAATGACCGGGGTGGGGTGCTGGAGGCTGGAGACGTCAGGTGAGCTGATAAGGCCAGGGGAGGTTCGTGGCCTCCATGCACGCAGCGGCACAGTCAGTCGGGTACGCCGCCGCCGCCAGGTTGTCGTCTCTGTTAGGGAGTAAAGCCATGGGAAAGCAGTGAATCTCGGGCTTGGCTGTCGATGAGGTCGCTTGGTGGCGAAGATGGGTGTTGGTTCGGTTTCGCCCGAGACTCGTTACCACGTCGTAAATGTTCCGGGTTGGGTCGATGGAGCGTTGAGTGAACGGTTGCCGCCAGCGCGCTGAGACAACTTGGGCCCAGCATGCTCGTTCCAGCCTTCCCCGGATTGAGGGAGGGACGACAGGCCAGAGCCATGGGTCTGATGACCAAATAGTGTCTGATAAGAGAGTACTTCCGTTTCCGTGTGTTTCTCGCCTTGCTGGCATGTATCTCGCCTCCGATTCTGGAGCCTTCCCGCCCTTTCCGGCTAGGCCGACCCACACCTAGCGCATTCCCTGCTGCGCATTGCGCTGATGAATCACAGAGTCCCACCCCCGGTCAAGGCTCACATCACCTTGACTCTTGTCCCGTTGCCTTTCGCCTCTGGTACGTGCCTGCCTAGGGACTGACTGCGCCTTCCCCCTCACCTCCCGCCACTGCCTGTGCCTCTGCAACCGCCGCCTTGGTCCCGGCCTTCAAACGCTCAGTAGCCCACCCTATTTAACTACCTCGTCCTCCACCCCTCGACCCATCTGTCCACTCTTCCCTACACCACTACATACCCTCACAAACGTGTTTGTCTGCACCCAAGACATCTCTCATCTCTTCTAGACGACATTCCATCTCCACACCCCCTCACTACACACTCGCGCATCCGCTACCATGCAGATCTTCGTCAAGACCCGTAAGTTCTCCCAGGAATCCGCCATCGCAGGACCAGTCTCGCCATCTCTGTTTACATAGTACTGACATGGCCGTCTTACAGTCACCGGCAAGACCATCACCCTTGAGGTCGAGTCCTCGGACACCATCGACAACGTCAAGTCGAAGATCCAGGACAAGGAGGGCATCCCTCCCGACCAACAGCGCCTGATCTTCGCTGGCAAGCAGCTTGAGGATGGCCGCACCCTGTCCGACTACAACATCCAGAAGGAGTCGACCCTCCACCTTGTCCTCCGTCTCCGCGGTGGTATGCAGATCTTTGTCAAGACTCTGACCGGCAAGACCATCACTCTTGAGGTGGAGTCTTCCGACACCATTGACAACGTCAAGTCGAAGATTCAGGACAAGGAGGGTATTCCTCCCGACCAACAGCGTCTCATCTTCGCTGGAAAGCAGCTTGAGGATGGTCGTACTTTGTCCGACTACAACATTCAAAAGGAGTCCACTCTTCACCTCGTTCTCCGCCTCCGTGGTGGTATGCAAATCTTCGTCAAGACGCTCACCGGTAAGACTATCACATTGGAAGTCGAATCATCCGACACGATCGACAATGTGAAGTCCAAGATCCAAGACAAGGAGGGCATTCCTCCCGATCAACAGCGCCTGATTTTCGCTGGCAAGCAGCTTGAGGACGGCCGCACCCTGTCTGACTACAACATCCAGAAGGAGTCGACCCTGCATTTGGTCCTCCGTCTGCGTGGTGGACAGTAGTGGGGTACTGGATGAGATATCTTTGCATGATTTTGAATGGCGTTCCGGAATTCCCCTTGATGAATAGGGGAACATGGGCATACTTTAGGCTCGTTATCGAGTAGACATGAACTGCTCACAGCGCTGATTGCGCTCAGAATTGACAACTGTTCAATCTGCCTGATTTGCGCCACCTGTGATGTTGATGTACGACTGATGACGATGCACACTAAAAGGCCCGCAACGGTCGCCCCTTGCGGTTCAGTGGAGTCGGCCTGGTGATCTCCATTTTGAACGTTAGTAACTTATTCGGATCCAAACCTCCAAGTCGTGATACATTGTGTCACCCTCTAAACGAACTGTATGACAAAACATGTCGACCCTCTGATACTCCTTCAGCCGTTTATTCATCATATCATGCAATGCATGTCAGATGGTAGTTTTGCCGAACTACGACTTGGTTGGAGCGATGGTGAGAGAGTCTTGTCTGCTTCCAAGCAACATAATTTCAACGTGAAAATCATCAGCCTCAGTGCCTAGTAGTATTCAAGTAGATATGTCTTTCTGCCCTCACAGGTGACTTGTCCCATCTCAACGGCTTCCATAGCGCGTGATCGTGGGCGGGATGTATGGAGTTCTCAAAACGCCAAGATGGTCTTGGCGGAGGGGCTGGTGAGCTGGGGGGATACAATGGTGGGGTCCTGCATGGCAAGGACCCGTTCCTGGGAAGTTTCCCCTCCATCGCACAAGGCACGCCGTCTCGCAACCCTTTTGTTCTGCGCGCGACGGCTCGATTTTCGGAACTTTCTCCGGCATGTGCCACTGCTGGTTTCCGTGGCAAGGAGCTTTGATCGAGCGACGACTCCCCCCGTGACGCGTAGACGCGCCGACTTACTACATCTTTACCTGCCGGACTTTCCCTGGTAACCATCATTACGCACAATCCAACCCGAACAGCTTCCTTACAGTAGCTGCTATCTGATCGTTCGAGTTGCTGAACATCTGCAACGCGCGAAACCCTCAGTCTGCTTGCTAGCTACCTAGCTGGCGATGCCGTCGTACTTTTATCACCTAAAGTTCGAGCTCTACCCGACGCCCAACCCTACAATAAGCCCACAGCGACCGACACAAGGCAGCACAGCAGCGAGCAACATCTGGCTTCCTCCGCCCGACACCGACATCTTTGGCGAGCTTCCCTCGCATCCTCCTCGAAATACACGAACGAGCCGAACCGGAAGACCGCAGCCTTCGCCCATCCAGTCATCATACGACACGGCGTATCGACCGAGCCACACAGCCCAGAAGCGAGCCAGCGACGACAACGAAGAACCCGGTCTGCACGTCATCGACTGCGGACTTTCGCGCGCCCCCGTCAAGGCCGACAACGGCAAGGACGTCGAGGTCCTCACGGCGCGGCAGTGGAAGGCGAGAACGCAGAGCTTCCCGCCGCCGCCCGCGTTTGCGGCGATCCGACCCGACGCCGCCGTGCAGGATTGGCGCTTCGGCCGAGTGAGCGTCGAGAGCCTCGAGCAGCAGACCACCAACAACAGCGCAACAGACATGGACGAGGCCGCGGGGTCGTCGGGCGAGCGGCCGTCGGCTGCCACGGGCATCGGCCCCATGTTCGGCGGCGCGGGCAGCATGACCATGGCGAAGCTCCTGCCGCTCGACACGACGAACACGGAGCTCGGATGGGGCGTCGTGCACTTTTACCGCGAGCAGGATGATAGCCCGAGCTTGCGGAGGCCTATCACGGAGCAGCAGACGGGCAAGGACGGCGATTGTACGACGGTCTGCGTACCTGCCGTTCCGAGCTACTGGTCTTTCCATGACTTGCTGGGCTTTATCGGCGAGGAGTGGAAGGAGAGCATCAGCCACTATCGCCTTGTGACGACGGCGCAGATGAACCGGTATCTTGTTCTCATGAAGTTTCGGGACGGTCAGAAGGCGAGGGCATGGCAGAAGGAGTTTGACGGGAAACTGTTTAACAATATTGATGCGAGCTTCATCATCATCCCAAAGACTGAACCGTACCTCGCTAACACATCTGTCGCAGGCGCAGGTATGCCAGGCTATATTCATCAGGTCGATCACATTCGAGATACCTACGAGACCGGACGGTGCGTTTCCTGACTTGAGCCGCGATCCGTTCACACCCTCCTCCGCCGTGTCGAACACCCTCAAGCCGTTTCCGCCGCCAACACCGAATCTGATCGAGCTTCCGACTTGCGCTGTGTGCCTGGAGCGCATGGACGACACGACGGGCCTCATGACCATCTCATGCCAGCACGTCTTCCACTGCAAATGCCTCGACCACTGGCAGGGCTCTGGCTGTCCCGTATGCCGGCACACCAGCAGCAAGCCCGCATACGATCCGTCAAACCCCTACACTCAGCCGTTTGGCTCCTCGGTTTCGAACCTCTGCAGCGTCTGCGATACCGCCGACGATATCTGGATATGTCTCATTTGCGGCAAGGTCGGCTGCGGCCGGTACAAGGGCGGCCACGCGAAAGATCACTGGAAGGAAACAGCGCACAGCTTTGCCCTCGAGATGGAAACGCAGTACGTCTGGGACTATGCCGGCGACACCTGGGTCCACCGTCTCATCCGCGACAAGGGCGACGGCAAGGTCGTAGAGCTCCCGGGCACCACCAGCCAGCAGGCCGGCCTGTCCAACAACGGCGACGGCTCAGGCCAGCAAGACGACGTCGTGCCCCGCGCCAAGCTGGACAACGTCGGCATGGAGTACACCCACCTCCTCACCTCGCAGCTCGAATCGCAGCGCGTCTACTTTGAGGAGATGGTCAGCAAAATCGCAGACAAGGCCGCCAAGGCGACGAGCACGGCCGACGCGGCTCTCCAGCAGTCCAAGGCCACGACGTCTGAAAACAAACAGCTGCGCGCCGAGCTCGACAAGCTGCGGCTCGAGACGGTGCCGCAGCTCGAGCGCGACGCCGAGCGAGATCGCAAGAAGGCGGAGAAGGCGCAGGACCTCGCTCGCAGCCTCGGCAAGGCGCTGCAGGAGGAGAAGGAGGTCGGCAAGGGACTCATGAAGCGTGTTGAGCATAACCAGGCTGAGGTCGAGGCGCTCAGGGCGCGGGACGCTGAGCAGAAAGAGAAGATTGCTGAGCTTGAAGAGATGAATCGGGACCTGAGCATGTTCATTTCTGGACAGGAGAAGCTCAAAGAGATGGAGGCTGAGGGGCAAGTTGAGGCTGGCGAGTTGGCGGAGGGCAGCGCCAGCGTGCCGGAGAAAAAGGGCCGGAGGAAGGGAAAGAGGTGATTTGGGGGCTAGGGGTGGCATGCATAGCGAGGCGCACATGAGAAGATGAGAATGATATCCACTGTTTTACGCTGCAAATGTGTGTGTTTTGACCGTCTTGGAGGCATCATTTCTTGTGATGTTGCTCAAGTTGTCAAGGAATAAATGAATGCATGTGATTTTCATCCCAAAATGGAGGAAGCTAAGGACCAGTCTCGACAAATTGACAGGTGTGCGAGGAATTGAACTAAACGAAATATCGAAGCGCTTCGCTAACAGGCTCAAAATCAGGCCGTGGGCTGTCTTCATCAGAACGCAATCGACTCGCCCGGCACGGAAATCCTGCCCTCAGCAATGGTCACACCTCCACCGATCAGGTCTACCTGACGGATGTCCTCGCCCTCTGACTTCTCCAGCGACAGGGCAACCTTGATCAGACACCTTCGTCCAACTCTCAACCCCTGGTGAACTTCAATATGGGCGGCACCATCGACGAGTTCCAATTCTCCGTGCTCATGAAGGTAGACCGATAAGGGCCCAGCCGCACTGCCAGTCGCCGGATCTTCGCCAGACATGCCTGGGCTGAAGAACCTGGCTTCATACTTGTTCGCGCCCTTTCGCGTGAACAGGAACAGCCCATAAGCCCGCTTGTCGACGAGAGCCAGCTGCTCCAGGAGCTTGTCCTTCTGCACGACGGCCTTGTTCAGAGCCTCCACAGAGGCGAGCGGGACGAGCAGGTGATGGGTTGTCGAGGTGGACGTCACCTGAGGAGGCAGCAGGCTACCGCTGTTGCCGGCGGTGAAGCCGATATCTGCCTCCGTCAATCCGAAGCTCTCGGCCAGCAGAGTCCGGTTGGGATGGATGCCGTGGACCTTAGGCGGGGCCTGGCGAAGGAAGACTTCATATTCGTTCTTTTGCTCAGGCTTCTTGATACGGCGGATCTTGAGGGCGATGACCTCGCCTCCGAGCTCCTGGTGGAACAGAAACGTTTCAGATCCGTCTTTGTGCGTCTGGCTGAGGTTGGCGGAGGTGAAATTCAGAAGCCCGCTCTCGGCGAGGTACCACCACACACCCAGGATGTTATGTCCGGCGCCATAAACCTCCCGCCCGTCAGGCAGGAAAGAACGCAGACGGTAATCTGCTTTCCCTTCGGTGGCTGGCAGGATAAACGACGTCTCAGAGAGGTTGAACTGTCGCGTGATCAGTTGCTGCTGGGTGGTCGTGAGCACCTGGGAGGTGGTGTCCACTATAGCGAGAGGATTCCCTTGATAGGGCGTCTGCGAGAAGATGTCGGCGATTGTAAACTGTAGGGAAGCCATCGTGCCAGTAATCCTTTGGGCTTTTGAGTCCTTCAGCGGCCGTGTGGTTAATGTCTTTTATTGCTGTGCATTTGATGCTGTTGAAATACGACCAGATGAAAGTGGCGATACATTATTGTACTGCTGATACAAGTCAAACTATATACGTTGAGATTTGCGCGTCTTTGGTATGCTGTTGGAAAGTTGTCTCATGGCGGACGCAATTGTCATTCTCGCGATGAGCGATCAAGCTTGTATTTGTAATCGTGAAGGGCGCGCCTCCAAACGACATGACATGCCCCCTTCCGGCAAGAGCGAGCGTTTCCTGACGAACCACCACGATTTGTCATGGCGTCGTCTGCTTGTGTCGTGACATTGTGGCGTTTTTACAAATGTGACAGGACTTGGTATGAAATCAGAACTCGTATCTGCTGTACAAGCTATGCACACCTTAACATCGATGGTGTGATTGCTTCTCAGTTGCATGGCCGATGAGACCACACGCTTCAGCTTGGCATCACTGACATGAGCAAGTTGATATCTTTTGGCGTCATATTACAGCCTATTTGTCGCTCCCAAACCAAAGTAGTTACTGAAGTCTGAGGAACCAGGATGGCCTGTGACAATAAAGCCGACAACAAGTATCCCATGATCTGGAATGATAATGCTCAGCTTCGGTATTTTGAGCATGGCCGGTAACATCATATGTTCGTCTGGGCAGAACCAAGCGGTGGTGCCATCTCAAACCCCTCTTTTGAACAGAGACCGCCTTTAGAGCTGCTCTGAGGCATCGTGAAAAACGTCATCTTCGTCGTCGGAGGTGCCTCCCACATCCATCCCTTTTGAGAGAGCTTGCCGCATCTCGGCAGTGGCCTTTTCCACAGACTCCAGCAGAAAATAGAACGCCGCATCAAGTTGTGGGCTTCTATAAGTGCGCTGCAAGAACAGAGACTCAGCTGTTTCTCCATCCACTGTCGCTTCTGGGTCAACGCTGGCCAGGCCATGGTGTGGCAAACACGCCATGGTCGCCTCATTTGCCCACGGAGCAGCACAATGCAAGATATTCAGTCCGCTAGGTGACTCCTTATAGTCTGCTCCTGCGGCGAGTAGTAGACTGAAGAATGACTGGTGCAAATTGAAGACAACCGCGTAGTGCAGCGGTGTAAGTCCAGCCGTATCGCGAATATGGATATTGACACCAAGATCAATTAGATACTCAATTGCGTCGAACGAGTTATTCAGTACTCCCATCATAAGTGGCGTCAAGGATGGTGCATCAGGCTCGTTTGGGTCGACTTCATACTCTTCAACGAGAGTCTGAGCCAAGTCATCCCTGTCGTACTTGCATGCAATACAAAAGACGTTTCTTGCCTGTGATCGGATATGCGCACCCATTTCAATGAGATACCTCAATGTATCGGGCTCTATCCAGGACATTGAGGCTTCCAAGGCTGTTTCACCGTAAATGTTTGGGACGTTGACATCGATGGCGTGTCGAACAAGAAGCCCAATGGCTTCTTTGTGGTTGCTCTTTGCGGCCCAGTGCAGAGGTGTAGAGCCAGTTGCATCTAGGCCACTTACTAGAGAGTTCCAGGGGGGTAAGTTCGCCAGCGCAGACTGCAGGTCACCTTGTTGTACCCCAAGTATTATCTTCGTGATATGCGATAAATCTAGGTTATCGATCAACGTTGCGATTGGAAATACTTTTGAGATGGCGAGACTGGTTGCAGTAGCAGACTGTTGAAGCAATATGGTCGCAGCAATGATGCTTCCCGAAGTGATCCCGAAGTCGTTCTCTTGCTGCACGTCACAACCGCTTCGAATCAGGAGCGTAACGAAGCAACTGTCAAAGTAACGAGATTTGGCTAGGACCAAGTGTAATGCAGTATCTCCAGTATCCGGGTGTTGGCTGAATGCTGCCTCTGGGTTGTCGATCAGAATACGCCAGGCTTCATCGCAATTCCGCAGAATCATAGACGCCAACAGGGAATCAAGTTCGAGAGGGGCCCGCTGCATTAGCCGGAGCTTGAATTTCGGGACAAGGCTTTTATGATGTGTTTGAACTGTGAGATGCATGAACAGATCAAGGAGCCATTGAGGAAATTCATATCTGAATTTGTATGTTTCGGACTCAAGGCGAGTGCACCCAACCATATCGCATGGAGGTGCCCAGGTTGGAAGACCAGTATAAGACGCGAAAAAGAAGCCTACGTATTTGCGGAGAAGTCGCGATGTACTCCAACGTGACTGGGTTGTGTTCACACGGTGGCATGAGCATACGCAAGAGCGCTTACACGAACCGTTTCGGTACGAGACCCAGATACTGAGGTTCGCCGCAGCCGATGGCGATGATGTTCCTGACGCGAAAGACTCCTCTGCATGTCCTGCAGGGTTAGATTCCCTGGTTTGTGGCTCTGAGGTATTGGCAATAGTTGTCACTAATGATGTTTGTTGATGGGAAATGTGCTTGATGCCGGCGAGGACGCGCGTGAGTACTCCGTGAATGTTTTCGGACGTTTCATGCCCCTGACCTTGTGCAGCGTTCAGGTCATTGTGGATAGAAATCAACTCCATTTTGATACGCGAACCTTGTTTCCTGAGATGACCAGAATCAGCTTTTAAGCGGCCTGGAAGACAGGACTCTAGACAAGCTAAGGAAAGGGGGCAAGACGAACCCATTGAACACATCACAAAGCATCCTTATGCTGCGATGAGCCTCCTTCAGGCGATTTCTCTCGAGAATAACCGCATTTTTACGTCGGATCCACCAATACCTCATCTTTGAGATTTCTTTCAGATTATCGTCGTTCAGCAGACACTCCAGGGATCCCAAACATGCATTGACTGACGTCAGGTGCCGCTCAAGACTGTTGGACAAGTCCTCCTCTGAGCAGCCGTCAGCAGCGTCGCATACATCTCGCGTATAACAGAGCAGGACCCTAAAGTCGGTGATTTCGTTCTGAAGCTGGAGGATTTCATGCGGTGCGTTTTTCCAGGCCTGACGGAGGGATCGGAGTCTCTTCGAGACGCGACTACCAACGTCAAGGACGCCAACCACGCCAGCAAGGATGCTGAATGCTTCGGCCATACTGGTATGGTAACTGAGTTTCGTTTGGAATACGATTGCCAGGAGCAGAACGCTTTTCTCGGACAAGAGGCAGGGTTGTAGGAGGGAAAAGACTAAGGCTGCCACGCGTCGAACCGAGACACTGCAGCCTGACTTTGGGTCGACGTAACGGCCTGACACACGTGAGCTAGCTGTCAGCTTAAGACTAATACGGACCTATCGCAGCCCGGAGAAGTATTCATGGTATTTGGGAGGATGATCCTAGATGCCTCACAGTTGAGCCTTGGCCGGATGACCAAGACTTCCACAACCATTTTATTAGGCATTAGGATGAAGATGTATCAAAATGCTATTCAAGCCACATTTAGAAGCAAGTATGCGACGTGTGTTTGCTGTGGAATGGTTGTCTGCATCGACACAACTCCAGCATTGCGAATACTTTACAAGAAATGATAGTTATCCTTGTCTATTACAAGTTGGTTCGGTGGTGTAGTTGGTTTATCACGTCAGTCTAACATCTTTCCTCGTACGAGTCAAGAGTTCACTGAAGGTCGGGAGTTCGAGCCTCCCCTGAATCATTTTGCAGTTGTGATATCCTGCACGAACTTTTGCCAACTCATGAACAATTGACATTCCAAATATTGTGTAGGACTCTCATCTAAGGGTTAGTTCCCGCGGCGTTCTTGACTGTGCGAATGATACCTTGTCGCGTACCGCCGGGGAGATTTCAGCGCAGACATGGAAGTGTTCTTTTCGTGTTGGCGAGAAGACACTTTACGCAGCAAGCTCGCACCTCGAACACTGTCAATGAGAGTTCACTTCATTTTTGATGTCTGTTGCTCATCACTTTGTCGTGTCTATTCCATCCTGTCATCGCCCGATGCGCCATGAGCCCCATACTCGTTGCTATATACATTCAACATCTCCACGTAGATGGAGGGGTAGATCACCCCAGAGAGCCTCCTGAATACCATGCGAAAAAATATCATACAAGTCATGTCAAAGCCCCAAATTGCCCTAAATTCAGATCATACCGTGTGCTTCATGCAAATTCCATCCTCTTCATTATCGCCGCTGTCGCAGGCTATCCGTCTTTTCAAAGGGGTATCGATATCGCCCTGCCTTGCTTGGTCGCATCTCATGTGAGCCGATCGCTTTTTCATTTTTCATCACGTTTTTTTGGTTATCCCTCGTCCTCGCATCGTTTAGTCTGCTAGCTCACTGCTGCTCCCGCTGGAGCCGCTTGTGACGCTCATGCTGCGGCGGGCTTGGTGGACAAGGCGGTAGATGCCAAAGGCGACGAGGGCGAGGACAACGAAAAGAACGATGACGATGATGGCGATGGTGTCATTTGGTTTCGTCATGTTGGCGGTCTTGTGTAGTATGGCGGTTGCGGGACGGGCTGACGGCGAGCTTGCGCGGGGTTCGATTGAGGGGTCGCGGAGCCTTGGAGTTTATGGGCAGGTGTGGTGTATGTGGGTGTCTCAGATGGTATGATTTTGGCAGTTGAGTGTCGTATATGGTATTGAAATAGCGAGAATGTGATGGATGACTGAGTCTCAGATGTTAGAAAGTCCATCAAGGTCAGACTGATGTCCTGGAGAAAGGCAGACTCACGATCTGGACTCGTTGGACAAGCTATAGGCAAGCTTCAAGCGGGGCTTCTGTGGGCTGCTGGTACGTGTGTAGCTTGGGGACGCTGTCAAACGCAAAGAAGCAAGTCGAGGAATTCCGAGTATCGCTGAAGTCGTGGAATAGTCTCGCTGAGCACAATGTATTGTCAGGTAAAGGTACCAGAAGAGAGGAATGTGTCTGACGGCTTACCGGTGGACAGAGAGAGAGTATTAATGGGCTGTTGCCCCGCCACCGGCTTTTGGCCAAGTCAATAAAATGGCAAGGCTGGGGGCGCTGGTGCAGGGGTGCTTTTGGGGGGCAGGGCGGGACTGGCACAGGCTTGCTGGGGTCCACATCAGCACCGTTGCGTCGGTCTGTCTGCCCAGCCCCTGCGTTTCAAGTACCTTCCCAGCCATTTTGTGCGCGCAGATACTCCCACACGCGACCGCGCCGACCAGCGCGTCAACAGCCAGGCCACCTTTACCATGCCATCATCAGGCATTGTGGATTATTTGGCTACGCAGGCTTTGCTGCCACGGCTTTCAAGCTTGTGTTCATTGACTGTCTTACGCATCCAGAATCGCGGCCCGCGAAACCCTATGGCCTTATTCTGCCTCCCAACAGCATCAAGGTTACTGCATGAGAGGAAGTAAGGCATGAAGAACAGGCAAATGTGCAATCAGGATCCCACGTACAACTACATACATCCCAACCGCGCGTCGAATCGATAATCAGAGGAGGCTTCGTGAATATGGCACAGCTCCCAGTTGCTGGTTGCAGCCAGCGCGACAAACCCATGCGCCGGCGCCGCAGATCCGTGTCATAGCTCTTCGTAAACTGTGCACTTATTATTTGAGCTCGGCATCCGTCGTGCCCGTAGCCGTCTTGATGATCCGAATGTGGCGCTCGTAGAACTGAAGCATCTGCGGAGAACATGTCAATATCAAGGCTCGCCCCAAGGAAATATGGAAGCGTACCTTTTGAGGACAGCGCTTGTAGATGACGTCGGTCGTGTGCTTTGTCTTCTGACCATTCTTCCAGTTCAGGTACACAATCAGCTTGCCCGTCTCCTCGTCCTCGCATGCATCAATTGTGGTGACGTCGTCTTCCCAGCTACCGCTCGGCGGCTTCCAGGTGTTCGCGGTGGCGCTGGCTGGTGGTGTGCTGTCGGACGGGTGGTCGCGGCTCTTGCGCGCGCGTTTTGACGACGATGCTGGTGTGCTAGAGGCAGGGCGTCCGCGCTTCTTTGTCTCTTTTCCCTTGCGGGATTCCTCAAGGATCATTGCCCGCGAGCCGACCGACTTGTAGTACTCGGCGATGATCTCCGGTGCACCCTCGCTACGCGCAACTGTTAGTCACATGTAGACCCGAAGCAAATCCGCCCCAAGGGTGGGATACGGCACGTACGTCAGGTTCGATTCGGGTTCCCACGTCTGGTCGGCTTTCTTCGAGTAGCCCTCCCACTTTACTTTGAAGAGGAGCTGATCCTGTGCTGTGTTAGCAAATGATTGCAGTACGACGGAGGTTCAGTTGAAAAAAATACCCCATCTTCAACCTTGTGGGAGATGATTTTTTCGACGATGAAACTACAGCATCCAGAGTCAGCCAGGGTATCGCAGCGACGATGTGGACTTGTCCGTACACCTCCTCGTCTCCGTCTTCATCGGCATCATCTTCGTCGTCTCCCTCCTTAACATCTGCCACGTCCTCGGCATCTCCATTCTCGACCGGCTCATCGTTCATTTCCTCGTCTGACTTGTTCGGTGTTCTGGACTTGGTGGATCGGTCGCGCGTGGTGGGGACCGGGATATCAAAGTCATTGTCCGATTGCTCGGTGTCGCTGAGTGCTGGAGAGTAAGTTAGTATGCGCTGAGCAGGTTGGGGTTCTATCCTCGCGACGCGGCCCAAGAAATCGCGCGCGATCGCCAACATGTCGTGGATTGGACGGTGCGACGGCTGTGACGCGATGCGATAGAGTTGCGCAAGGGGACCGTGATCGGCTGGCAGATGCGGGAGGCGAAGGGAAAGTGCGAGGCCTACCTGGCGGCATCTTGATGGAAGAGTGGAAGCAGGAATCAATCGAAGTGGTGGGGGGTCCGGGTGCGTCAGGCTGGCTAGGTCCGAGAGTGATACGATTCGGCTTGCGATTCGGGGTGAATGGAAGTAGTGACGGAGTGGGTGGAAGTGCTTCGCGACACGCTTACCATGAACACTCTTAGAAGGTTCAGCCCACAACCATTCTGGGAGAGCTCTGTCCAATGAAAGCACCGGGATTTTTCTCGGCACCGGCATAGCTTGAGGCAGCACGCGACGGCTCAGCACAGTCTTGAGAATGGGTCCTGTGGGGACTACCAGACCAACAGAACAGTATGAATTGTCGCACGCTTTCTATCCTATCAAGCCTATCTACCTAAATTACCTACCTAAGGTAGGTAGGTAGGTAGGTAGTTCGTCACGGAAGTCGTCTTTAGCCTTCATGACGTGGTTCACAAAGTATGTGCTCTAAAAATTCCTTTACGGTGCTGCTATGCATGATAGTCTCTGCCGAAATGCCGAGGAAAGTCAATCGCATCTGCCACGGCAGTACCATGGCAGGCATGGCGAGAACATGATGTGACTGCCATCATACCGACCAGCAGACAGGACAATTTTATCATGGCGCATGGCAGGGACACAGGCGAGGCACGATGTTGATCAACAACGTGATTGCGTATGGAAGGCCAGAACATGGACTCCATCACTCATCTCCACTGCTTAGACAGCCTGCTGTCTTTTATAAGGCCAAGTCATTTATCCGCCAATTACTGTGACTTGTAATCTTCGCCCTCTATTTCGGAGAACAATCGCAACTTCCGCTCGTTTTCTGGTGTTCAGGCTATCATCTCCTCTGAATCTGGACGAAGTTTCCCACATTGCATGAACCATCCCTTTGCGCAGACATGGTGGATGGTGGCACATCTTCCCTGTCAGCTTCTGGCCAGCTCATCGGCCGAAAGGCCATGTAGTCGATCGATGGGAGACATCTCGGCATCTCCTCCAGCTGATCTCACTCTGAGCCGATGCTCTCCGAGCATCAACTTCTACGAGGGAGGTAGGGATCCGATCCCATTACGTGCACATGCGATCTTGTCCATCAGATCCTACACCCTGAGAGGCATGAGCTAGCAGTCTGCTGCTCCAGTTGATCAAGCACGATGCTTTCAGATTTGTAAGACCTGCCGAAAACCACGAGCTTGCCCGAGGCACCGTGCCGTTCGTTTCTGTTGGCGATCCTTCGCCCGGGAACAAACGGCCGATCTCCTTGCTCGATTCTTCAGGTCAGTCTGTTGTCTGAAACGTAGGGCCCGAATGTGGAAGCTACCTGCCGCATTCATAGCCTTGGAGTCCCGAGGAGAAGGGCCGGCCCTGAAAACTCAGCCTCACCCGGCTGCATGTGCGATCGCCTCCCAGCTCAATCTCCCCCTGAGGGCCCGGATTCACATGTAACGAAAGGGTTCGCACGGGACGGCTTGGATGCTGTCATCAGCTGCCGGTGCGAACTCTACTGCTGGTGGCATATTCCAAGATCCGGGCTGGCTCCGCAGGTAGGTCCCTGAGAAGCTGGCCCCCCAATGTAACCCCCTCAGCCGTTCCTGAAGCAAATAGGCGTTACTAGCTCAAGACGCGAGAGAGATAAAAACATAAAAAAAGGTGGGCGCATTGCAACCTGGTGTGCAGGACGCCGCCTACGAAGTGCAGCGGTGGTAATCAAAGGTCCTGCAGCGCGAAAGGGGCGGCGCCGATTAAGGACCGCAAGCCTTCAGAAGCAGTTGGGACGCTACAGCTCAGGCGCGTCTTGGCTCTGGCTTGAGGGTACATTGGGGCACTCTCTTTCCCGCCCAGCCCACCCCCACGGGCGTCAATGACTGGTGAGGGACGAGACGGGGAGATGGACGGCGCACCGAGACCTGATCAAACAAAAATGTGGTGCGCTCGCGATGGGAGGGGGGGTTTGACAGCAGCAAGTGCGGGAGTGAGATGAGGGGGGCGCACCACGGGTGCGGTTCTGCCTACTAGGTAGGCTCGTTGGTGGATTCAGGGGGTGTTGGAGGAGTCGGACTGCAGGCTCGATAGGGCAGGGAAATTGGCTCGGGAGATCTGACGACAGACTCAGCATGACGAGCTGCCGTTCTGACGACACTGCAATTCCTGAGCAAAGTCGTCGATTCAGGTCAGATCGAGACTGATTGCAGCTCTGAAAATCTGAAGGCGAAACTGAAGCCACCCCCCCGCCCCCCCCCAAGTCCCTTGCAACCTCTCTGATGCTCTAATAATATGCCGGAGCAGCATTACCCCCTGGTCATCTGGATTGGCCTCTGGGGGGACTTTGGTCTTCGCGATGGACGTGGACGTGATGAGAAGAACAAGAAGAAGAGGCAGGCCTAGCTGGATCGGAAGCCCCCATCTCATCGGTGGAGACCGGGCCTCTCAGCAACCGAAGAAACGAGTCCGGGTACGACGGCCGTGGGCCGGAAGCCAGGGTCAAGCAGCACGACCCCTGACTGGCAGCTGCTGGCGTACCTAACGGGATCACGCCCCCGGTGAAGCCGCCCAGCTCACTTTCCGTCCTTACAGGATGCATATGCAGCCTGCAGCCCGAGGCATTCATCATTTGTGGTCAATGAATGATACAAGAAAATTTGTAAATTTGTCGCGACGAGCGGCGTGTGGCAAGATGAGGATGGACAGGCGTCCATGGGGAGCCGAGACGTGGATCGGGCTGGAGGTTCAGATGGCAAGCGTGAGGAGGCGTGTCCTCACAAAAAACCTAGCTCTCTCGAGAACGAGGAGCCACCATTAGGGCGTGCGTGTCGTGCGAACAGCGCTAAGGCGAGTGGTCTGGGCCTGGGCCGACAGCTAGTTTCAAGGATCATATGGAGGCCAGATACCCAGGTAGGTAGGAGGAGGGGGGTTGAGCAAGGTACAGGCGGCGGTGGTTTGGACGACAGAACCCAATTTTGGACGCTCAGTGACCACAGGAAACGTCCAGTCTGGTAAGGTAGTTGATGGTGGCTACTGACGAGGGAAAAAAAGAGTTCAGACTCGAGGAAGCTTGGATATATCTAAATCTGGCACATCTGGCAGGGCAAATATAGGGGCAAGCATTGTGAGTATACCATCGGCAGGAAACCGCTCATCTGTCCGTGCCTTTTGTTTCCTCCGACGAATTGCCCGTGCCCTGCCTTACGGTGCCTACCTGCCTAAGGTAGAGGTAGGTGGTACCTTGATACAAAGGTAGGGACACCGAAGAGTCAGGAGCCGCCTGGCTTAGGTTCGTACATCCTGAGGGTTCTGCTTGGGTCTTGTGTCGCCGAGTTGGGCCTGGAGCGAACCTGGTAATTGAGCGTGCCCTGAAATACGGAGGGGGCTTCCAGATTCACAGTGGCCCTGTTCCCTGTAGGATCTCCCACTTCAGCCACTGAACGATTCATCCGCTACTTGCCCCGGCGCTGTCCGTGCTGCCAATGGCCGGGCGCGCCAATGGATCTTGGGGAAAGGGGTAGGGGGTAAAGGGGGGGGGGACTCGAGAGGGAAAGAGGGGGGAAGAAAACCCCTGCACCCGTGCTTGCCTCTAGCAGCTCGAGTACCTTACCTAGCGCCAGGTGGTTTGGGCAACTACTACCGGTGGAGGTGAGCACCCACCAGTCGTTGTTCCTTCCTTTTTTTTGGGCGGGTGGGACCCCTGGCGCTTGCTCTCGACCAAAAACTGCAGAGATAATTAAAACCGGGTGACATTTGAGAACCAGCCCAACTTTCTTCCCCTTTACCCTGCTTCCCCTGCTCGTCTACTTTTCGCCGTTGCGACATTTTCCCTTTTCCCCCAAGAGGCATCTGGCGAGAGAGAGAGAGAAAGAAAGAGAGAAAGACCAGAGAGAATCAGAGCGAGCAATTGACGACGGCGAGAGCCAAAGCGAGCTGTCCTGACCTGACAAGCATATCTCGCTTTGCCCCAGTTACCCCCTCCTTAATAGCTAGGATCTCGTGAAAGCTCCTCCCACAAGCTTGATCTCCGACTCGGACCTCTCTCCCCCCCTCGAAGCCTCTTCTTCTCGACACTCTTTTATTCTTCACCCCTTTCCCCCCAAACCTTCGTGCCGTTGCGCACCCCACGCTCGTTTATTCTTTCTCGACACACCTATGCACCTCGACTTTCCTGCTCCCCGGGAGCTGTTGCAAGTGTCCGCTCGCGACTCAAGAAGCCAGCCTCGATCCGATATCTGATAGCAGCCGTCTAGCTGCCAGAGCCATATTCCACCCCCAAACCGATAGCTGAGCATGGACGACACTGTGAGCAACGCAGGTAGCAGCAACACCCCGAAATACCATGCGCCCAAGGACAAAAGCTGCCCCTACTGCGGGCAGGCCTTCACATCCTCGTCACTAGGACGCCACCTCGATCTCTACATCAAGACCAAGAACCCTAAGCCTCCAGATGGCATCCACGACGTCGCGGAGATTCTGAAGTTGCGGGGCAACATCACAAGACGCACACAGCGAGCCTCGATGGGAAGGGCAGCATCCACACCAACCGGCACCCCTAGGATACGGACTAAGAAGGAGCCGTCCGGCAAGGATGGAGACTCTCACAAATCCCCCGTTCTCCCAAAGGACGGCCAGTACATGGTTGATTCGCGCCTAAGCAAGTACTCCTCCGCCTTTGGTCCGCCGACATGGGAGGCGACTGGTGTCATCAACAGCATTCCCAATAAGACGCCTGACATCTCTCAGGGCGGCGAGGGCGATGGTTCATTGGACACTGGCAAACGGCCTGGCATGCAGAGACAAGTGAGCAAGCAAGTGCTGCAGAAAGCTCAATTTGATGTGAAGCATAGACTGGCAGATGCCATGGATACAGCCAGAGCCGCGGAATTGGCGTTGCGGGAGGTCCTGTGTTCATGGCGGGCAGCTAAGTATGTCGTCAAGATGAGACCAACACGAGGCAGGGAACTGACTTTTCAATAGGCAGCATATCGACAACGATTCCATGCCGTTCGAGTTTGATCCACTGTCCATGGACTTTCCCTCCTTGACGCTACAGTGCCTGCAACCACCCCCAACACTCTTCTCTTCAACACAGCACCCCACGTCTACGTCGTGGTCAGTTCAGTTTCCTGGCCAGAGGGAGTTTGACGCGCTCCGTGCCCACTTCCAGGAGGAGTTCAGAGTGTGGAAAGTCACTTGCGCTTCGGCTACAACCGCCGTAATGGAGGAGCTGACTTATCCGCCCCGCGAGGGACCTCATAAAGACGCTCGTGAAGCCGTTAAGAAGGCTGAGAAGCAAGCCGAGACGCTGGAACGGCAAGTCAACGAGCATCTGCAGTCGGCATATGCTGTATGGGATTCACTCCCCGTAGCAAGGCGAAACGAACTCTGGGTGCTTGAGCTGGCCAGAAGCGTGGGAAGGAAGCAGAAAGAGACTGAAGCTCTGAAGAAGACGCAGCACAAGATGAAGCAGGAGAATACCAACCTCAAGGCGCAAATTGAACAACTCAACCGCCTCCAGCAGCCTCGCGAGTTCAAGATTGTAGCGCCTACCACGATACCTCTTGAGCCTGAGATTATCTCGCACATTCTCGAAGCCGGCGTCAGAGGAGGTCGTGGTGTCGGTCTCACTCCTGACGACCGCCATTTGGACCTCAACGAGGTCATCACACGATCAATCGAGCGATGGAAGACGGTGATCACGTCGTCTCGTGTCTCCTCCGCGGGCATGAGCGCCCAACGACCTCTCGACGCATCCTCGGCTGTCACTCCCGCAGCCACACCCGTACCTGCTCAACGCCAACAACCTGTCGTGCAGCAAACTCAGGAAACAAATCAGGAAACACCGCAGACATCCAGACCGCCAATGCCACCGCAGCGACAGTCTACTACGACAAGCGCCACCGGCATGAGTGAGCAAGAGGCACCATCAACGAGCGGTCCGCCATCTGTCAGCACAAGCGACCGCGACGCAGACGCAGACGCTGATGCTGACGCTGATGCGGATGTTGATGCGGATGCCGACGCTGACGCGGAAGTCGACATGGATGCCGAAGCAGATGCAGATGGCGACATGGACGCTGACGCAGACGTGGATGTGGATGTTGACGCCGAGATGGATGACGAAGACAGCTTCGCCATGCTGACAACGCCATCGACGAAATCATTGCTTGCGCAGCAGCCGATGCAACGGCAGGCGACGCTCGATGTTCCACGAACACGAGGACCCATGCAACAGCACCGAGGGGGCGCAAATGATGCGCGGTTCCTGATGCAGAACGGAGCGGCGGCACTTGCGAACCGCACACACATCAACATGAGCCGCTCGATGCCCAACATGCAAGCAGCGATGCAAAATATGCACAACGACATGGGAATGGCAATGTCTGGCGTTCGGGGAGATCCCATGTATATGGACTAGGTACCAAGAGGCGCGTGCCCTCCGCCTTTCGAACAGCACTGGGCTTGAACCCAACAAAACACACACTGGATTTATTTTGAAGCCATTTTGTACAAAAGCCTTACGGATTCACGTTTTGATCTAAGCGCACATAGAAGCGTAGCTCACTACCCTTGGGAGTTTTGCTGTATTAATAAATGAAGGGGCCAAATTGATGACACCGATCTTGCGTTTCCATCTGGTCTATGTGACTGAAGGTCTGACTGTTGGTGAATCAGTCTGAGGTTTGCGGACACCACGTTTGACAGTTGCCGCCAAGCATCCAGGCTCTGGTTTTCAGGGGTTTCATGGTATATGACTGGGGCCTGGTCCTGTGACACCAACCGAACGGTCACTTTTTATGTGCGTTTGCTGCCGTCCTGGTCGTAACCCATGAGTTTGTCGTGCCATATCCAGAATGGCGTATAAGTCGTTCAAGGGCCCAGCATGATAAGTATTATCTTGCCCGTCGTGACGATCATGTTCAGCTTCTTCGACTATATCCCATTACCGGAGACATTGCCATTTTCTCGCTTCCCAAGGCAGCTATACGATATGAACACTTACCCTCACGAAACGATTCCCTCAAACCGATGGGCTCCCGCTCATCTGTCGAGCCATGCTAACGAGGATCCGGGCATGCCACCCATCACGCTGGACAGCATTCCCGGCCCTCACTCGTCGACTTTGGAAGAGGCGAGAGACGAGGAAGGGTACTCGAGCGCCGAGGATTACGAGTCGGTGGAGCCCGGGAGCGATTCGTCTGATGAGAGTAGACACGATACTTCCGACGGGGAAGAAACCTCGGAACTCTCTAGAGATGGCGAGCAGGACGTCCTGGCCGGTGACCCTGACGAGAGAGACTGGCATGTTGTCGACGACGCGGCGGGGCCGGACCCGGACCGCACGGTCGCGACGCTGCTGAACATGCTGTGTATACTGGACAGGCAGGCCCAGGAGCTTGAGAAGAGGGGGAGTGAGATGAATAGTAGGAGGGGCGAGGTCGAGAGGCAACTGTTGAGGACTGAGCCGTGGGCGCTGGCAAGGGAGATGACGGGCGAGGAGGCGTTTTGGTGGGAGCGGCGGGACGGGAGCGGCGGCCGCGAGATTGAGGAGCTGAGGAAGCTTGCTGTAGGGATGGTGGGTCTTGAGGCAGCGGCGAAGGAGGCTGAGAGGAGGAGGGAGAGGGTGGTTCGACTGTTGGTTGAGGTTTGGGGACGTGGGATTTAGGTCGTCTGAGGAATGAGCAACTGTCGGTATTATACTCTGATGCGCAGAAATACTCTATCGAAAAAGAAGACTCGACAAGGTTTTGTTCGACATGAACTTTTCAAATTATCAAGACTGCTAAATTGCTCCTACCTTCATGCGGGATCCGTATTCGAACTTTGAAGTCATATAGCGCTGTTTGACCATTCCCTACTGATATAATCAATACCCAAAGTCCTCCCAGACAACCTCCTCATTCTCAAGCCAGCCTTTCATAATCGTCAGCAGCGCAGGCGCAGCGCACAAGTAGAACTTTCTCTTCTCCCCCTCAAACACCCGCTCCAGATCTTGCTTCTCCATCCGCCTCCTCTCGACCCCGAGGCCCAAAGCCTCGATCTTTGCGAGCGTCTCCTCGTCCGCCTCGCCAATCTTTCCCGTGACATGCACCCTCAGCCTTGCCGCCAATCCCGGGATCCTCTCGACGGCGTCACGCACAACACCAACGTCCTCCCCCCTAACCCCCCAAATAACCTCGAACGCCTTGCCGTCCTCCAGCAGCCCCGGCGCCTGCGCGAGCAGAGGCGTAATGCCGACGCCGCCCGCGACGAAAACCTCCTTCTTCTTCCCCCCCTCAGCGACGGCGCCCATCCTCGTGCCCTCCGTCACGGCGAAACCACGCACGGCAACCTCGAGCGGGCCGCCCCGGAGCAGGTGCTTGGCAAGCAGCTCCGTTGCGCCGCCGCGCTTCACGCGCGCCGTAATCTCGAACGCGCGGGCGGACGGGGAGCCGGAGACGGTGAAGCTGCGGATCCAGTCCTCGTTCAGGCTGCGCGGGTCGTCGTCGCGCATGTGGCTCCAGCCGTGGTCGAGCTCGGCGGCGAAGTCGAGCGTGACGTATTCGCCCGGGACGGGCTCGTGCGGGGCGTCGAGGGCGAAGGTGAAGCGCGTGATGCTCGGGGTCAGGGGCTGGCGGTGCTGGAGGGTGGCGGTCGCGAGCGGGGTCGAGGGCAGGGCGGCGGCGCCCTCGGCGGCGAGGGGGCGGGCGGGCGGGTTGTAGGGGGAGTAGTCGACCTGCGGGGACGTGGCGCGCATGGGGAGGCCGCCCTTGACGAGGAGGGCTGAGGTGAGGGTGATTTTGACGGCGAGGCGGGTGTGCGGCAGCAGGGCGTCGGCAGCGTCGCCGGTGAGAATCGTTGCCGTTCCGGTGGCCTGGCGACTTGTTAGTTCCCAGTTCCAGATAGCCGGGCAGAATGTGAAGGCATGCATAGAGTACATCCGAAGTGTCAAAATCGGGTATGGTGATGCCCACGAGGGGGTTGGCCTGGAGATTGCCCAGGGTCTGGTACAGCCTGTTTCCCGAATCTACATTCGTCAGTATTTACAGCATGATGAAGGAGCAGCAGCAAGAAGCAGAGAGAAACTCACACTCGGGGTAAATCAGCTCAACAGCCCCCTCGTCGTTCCTCCCGATCCTCACAAACCCCTTGCTCCCCCCGCGATGATTCGTATCCATGCCCGTCCCGTGTCCGCTCGACAGGAAAAACAAATCTGCCTGATCAACAACCCGTCTGGCCCTCGCGCTCAGAGGGAACCCATCCTCGACGCCCTCGACCTCGGGCGTCCTCGCGACGAGAGCCCGCCCGTTGAGGTACTTGGGACAATTGCCAAGGCTTCCCTCGACGCGGACCGCCATCTGCACCTCGCCCTGCGCGACAGCGCCAGCCACCAGCCGTCCCATGAGCTTGACGCGATCCCTCGTCTGCAGGTCAATGCCGAGGCCCGAAACGACCTTGTCGCCCGAACGCACGACCTGCTCGCCGACGACGCGGCCACCCCACAGCGCCCGCAGCACGGGGTCGTTGGCGGCGTCGACCCGCGCCCGCACGCCGAGGAGGCCGGGGCCGATGGCGACTATGATGACAATGCCAGGCACCTACCATGTCCAAGGGAATGCCGTCAACATCATTCGGACGAGACCGATAAAAGATACGCGTCCGAAGGACTAGTCGTTTGTATGCTTTGATCCGCCTTAGCACTCTTCCCCTATCTTTCGAATGGAAGTGTAAGATGAGGTGGATTTTTTTTTTATGCATTTACAATTG